GGGGAGACCTGATGTTCGCATATTTGTCGCTTAGTCGCTTCTTACGATATTGCTCTACCGGGTCTACCAGAACCCAATGGCTCATCTTCATCATCATCATCGTCATTCAGCCACATGATGTCCACTGCTCAGTATTAGGCACAATTTTGCAACAAATAATTATTGATGTTTGGGAGTCGCTGGTCTGGGGCAGGTTATGATTCTGGCGCAGCCAGTCATTAGTGCCCAGGAAGTGGCTGTGTGTCGAGATTGACTGTACCACTTTCTACGTCTGAAGTACAGTCGGGCACAAAATGACAACCCTTTGTTGGTGACCACCTGTTGTTTTTATCCTTGAAAAAATTAACTTAGCGATCAGTAAGCATATTTTGGGACCTATTTATTTATTTTAATCTCGTGTAAAAGTTATGTCTTAAAGGTTATAACTCAGAACTGTAGAAGCGCTTTTTTAAAGTTTATTCACCAAAAATTAAGATTTTTTAACAAAAAAGCAAAGTAGATATTAAAACCTTTAACTATGGTAGGTTTAGTTGAAATTACCAGACATTTCTATTGGCAAAATGTCATAAATTACTACTTTATAAATTACACAATCTAAATTAGGGCATGAATATCGGAATCTCGGAATCTCGTAATATCGGAATCTCGGACTGCGAGATCCGATATTTCAATTCCGATATTGAGCGACCCAATATCGTAATATCGGAATCAGATAAAAGTTTTAATTGAGATTTTAAACAAAGCGTTTAAACTCGCCACAACCTGCCACAAAGCCCAAAGTACATGATTGGCAAAGACCAATGATTTTCTCATGTCTCTCACCATCACTTTTTGTTCTACTGCAAATATTTTAATATCTTTACTATGGTTAATTTAACTTGTTCTAAATCAATTTTAGCATTTGCCATAAGTACTTGGTCAACAAAGAACGACATCTCAACTCCCTTTCAATTAATTTTACTGGACATGGACCGTCAGTTCTGCGTACTATGTGCCCTGCCCATTGCTAGTTCAGCTTGCTAATCCGTCGGGCTATGTAAGCGACCTTAGTTAGTTTACGGAGCTCCTCATTTCTGATTAGGTCTCGTAAAGAAACACCAAGCTTATCCCTCTCCATAGCACGTTGTGCCCTATATTCAAAGGCCACGTTTTCGAGCCATATATCATCACTGGTAATACACACTAATTGAAGACTTTCGTCTTCGTATTCGACGATTTACCTCTTTCTCGAAATTGCATCTAACTACCTAGCTGATCGTTTGTCCGAGATAGACATACTTACTTGTTAACAATCTCGAGAATCGAGCTCCTAACCGAAACTCGGTAAGAAGCAATATGGACATTCGACATATTAAGCTTCGTTTTTTCCATATTCATCCGAAGGCCTACCTGTTGGGAAACTCGATTAAGGTCTTCGAGCATTGTGACAAGGCCTTCCAACGGTTCTGCCTTAGTACGCAAAACAGACGGACGATGAGGCAGCAAGGTTCTGAAGTGGAGGCCACGTACCGGAAAGCGCAACGTAGGACTAATAACCACAAGGTGGACCGACGACTTCATAAAGGTAACAGGAAGGCGCTGGATGCAGGCCGCCACCAACCGGCCATTGTGAAAATCAGCATCGGAGCCTGTGTTCAGCAGTGGACGTCCTATGGCTGACATGATGATGATGATGGCTCGTGGTTTTGCGAGTTGTACATCGATAATCAAAAAGGAACAAATTACAAGCATATTCAAGTTTTTTACCACTCTCTACAATTTTTGTAACACGTGATTTGAATGACTATAAAATTCATTCCGCCAACATAAAACAGGGTATATTGAAGGAGTAAAAAAGTTTGTTTGATACCTGTGATTTTACAAAAACACTTTAATTATTTGCTAGTCCATATAGAAAGAAAGGCTCATTATCAGTAACCATTCATTATCAGGTGATCCGTCTGCTCGTTTGCCTCTTGTCACATAAAAACCAAATGCAATGGATACCCATAACGTAAAAGTGGTTTTAAAATACTTCAATTTTATGAAGTGCTGTTTTGTACTAAATTAAAGATTTTGATTAAAATCATCATTTTATTGTAAACAATCCAGAGTTGTTACGAAAATAATCAAATATTAATTTCATAGCACATGAACTCAATTCCGATATTAATATCGGAATTCCGATATTGAGATCTAATATCGGAATCCAATATCGGAATTGAAAACCTTCCGATATTACATGCCCTAATCTAAATGGAGATTCAAATTTGACTTTGAAAGAGACAAATGACAGCTCATATAAATAATCTAGCTAGAGGTACAATCGAGTTTTGACCATAAAAAGTATCCTCCCCAACAGTATAATCCGGGCCTTTTCATGGCGAGAGTAAATATTTAAGCACTTACGATATATACCATCCTAGATCACTTAACATAAGGTGCGTGCGATTGCGGTCAAATACCTGCCTTGTTCTGCAGAAAAAAAAATGGGGTGTGGTAACTACCCTATTTTAAAGTTTTGATTCAACATAGTTGTACAAGACTGTACCAGTTTAGCCTGTAGCATGATCCCTATACATAAACTTAAATTAATTACAACCCAGCCGGTGATTTACCACGCTATGAACTATATTTGATGTTATCACTGATAGTGCAAGTGCAACTATGTTGCATCTAGAAGAAAACCAGAGGGGCCACTTCTAAAACCGAATGGACTGACGATCTAGGCGTAACATCCGAGGCTCGTGGCAAATTGGATCCCTGTGTTGGAGTTAGAGCCCTGCCACCCTATAATTACGCCACTGGCAGCCACGGATCTATGTATTTTTCTAAGTGGGGCCAAATTGAGGCGCCATTTTCATGTATGACTCTGTTGTGTCGATGTGTTGTAAAAAGCAAATGCAGGCCACGATGCAGGAGACATCTTTAAAAATCCTCACAGATGGGGTGTTTTGCCATGCCCATTCTTTGGAGGGCTGCTCTCGGTACTCCTCATCAGTAAAAACGGGACTATTCCCGCCGCTGCAACTCCTGTGTAGCCAGAATCTACAGCTTGACCGCCAATAAAAAACCAACCAGTGAAGGTCATTGGGTCCAACGAAATTAATCAGAAGACATCCTTGTCAGTAAAGCTGAGCTGCGATATAGAGCAGACTGTATAGATCTTTTCATCCACGAAGACGCGCCCTACAATTTTTGGTCTCGGTCGCGCGGGGTGCGGAGTTTGATCCGAGCAATCCGTAAGGCATTATTGTAGTGTGCGTGTGCACTCATGGATGATTTAGCGTGTACCGATGACACTCAAACATTAGAGGAAGAATTGTGGGGCGCGTCTTCGTGGATGGAACGTTTAAATGCTTACTTTAAAAATTCGACCTACTCGCAAGTCCGCAGTCCCAATCAGTAATCTCCAACCTTAAAAGGTATTAACTAATGTTAACGTTTTGCATTACTCAACCGCCGCGCCCGAAGATGGTCACTTGTAGTAAGTTTAAGTGTGCCACGATAAACTCGGTTTGTCAACAGGGCTTGCGAAATATGTTGGTTTTGGTTTGGTTATTGGTATTTTGCATTTGATAATATTTGTTTGGTATTGGTTTGAGAATACCGAGAATATCTACGTCTACCCCCTTGGAGGAGGCCTTTGTCCAGCAGTGGACGTCGTCATTTGGCTGAAACGAACGAACGAACCCCCTAAACAAGTAGCAAAGAAGCGTGACAATAGTAATAAAAAATACTTTTAAAAAGCACTTTTAGAGTAGACGCACACCGTAGATTTTTTTATCGGCCGATAGTTTAGTCGGGCAGTTGATCAGTATGGGCATGTATGGGAGTGCGCACACTACGCCGATTCGATTTGCACGATTCTTCATACAAATTAAAATCGGGTACAACTATCGGCGAACTAAAAATCAACGGTGTGCGCCTACTCTTACACGTCCCAATATTAACCCTACCACTGTTTCGGGACAATAAATGGGCCAGTGAGAAGAAGCAGCGCAAGAAACTCCGTCACTATTGTAATTTCAAAAGGATTTCGTTTCGTCGATTTTTCGCTTCGTGATTTCGATTTTTGCAGCGATCAAAAACGGCACTTGTCTAGACCATATAACCTCAATATTGATATTTATTTCAATAAATAAAGCCAAAATTCATGCCATAAGAAACAAGTCTTCAATTGGTCAATTGAGAAGTCACATGCATTTCTTTCGACGAGCCGGAAGACATAGTGTGGGCAGGCCTCCCACTAAGTGGACCGACGATCTGGTGCCTGGATGCGGGCGGTGCAGGACCGGTAGAAATTCTTGGGGGAGGCCTTTGTCCAGCAGTCGACGTCATTCGGCTGAAACGAACGAATGAACGATTCATTTCTCTCATAGTATATTTTATAAAGAAACACCATCAAATAATGTGTTATGAAACCCGTCTCTTCTCATCACCGATTTAAGATATAAGTACATCAGGGAGAAACCACAACTATAAAGATGTCAGATAATCATCTTGCATTGCGTAACTGAGGCCCAATACGACTTTATAATTACTTGTATGCGTGTAAACATGGCTATTTATCCAACGTCATTATCTTAACGCATTCACGAAACGGCTCGTGAAGCAAAAATCGGAAGTATTTTTGTAATTAAGTAGCAAAGAAATGCGCTTGGACGTTTTACACTGAGAAATATTAATCCAAACTAAGCAAAGCTTTTATTGGGTACTTACATTCAGATAATGAAAGCAGCCGATCCTAACAGCATAAACAATATGCCATTATTATATTTAAAAGACACCCTTTTCTACTCAAAAACGTCCACTGCTGGACAAATTCCTCCACAAATCATTTCCAGCACGAAGTCTTGCGTTTTCAGACTTTCAGCAGACCTATACCAAGACATGTTTATGCACATAAATGTATGTACCGATCGGGGATCGAACCCGCGACCTCTAGCTTAGTAGTCCAGTCACGCTCACGCTCAGAATCGTTGAGTAAAAGTTTAACCTATTCTTCCTTTTTGTTCCAGACCAACACAGCGGGTTCCAGAGCATTGCCCTGGCCGAATCCGACCCCACCGCTCCTAGGGACTCTCCCAATGTCGGCAACCCTCCTCCCCCCACCCCGAACCAGAATGACAGAACGTCAACCGTGTCAAAAGCCTCCAAGTCTGACGACGATTTTGACGTTAACGAATACTTCGCTAGGCTGCAAGGCACGAGATATGTCAGCGCTCCTATAAACAGCACACTAAAAGAAGATCCGCAAGTGGATTTGCAAGCGACAGAGGAAAACCTGGAAGAAATAAACCTAAATGAGCCAGAGAAACCTGTAGAAACGCAAAGCATTACAGCAGATATAGCGCAGAATTTCTCTCAACTCCCGACGGTTTTACCCCAAGTTGCTAGCGCTGTCTTCAGCTCTTTCTCCAATTTGATGAACTATAAGAGCAGAGAGCAGACTCCTGATGAGAAACCCTCTGAATATAAAGAAGTCCATAAGGATGTGGGGTTCCCAAGGCCGGATAATGTGGGGTTCCCAAGGCCGGATGAGGTGGGGTTCCCAAGGCCGGATGATGTGGGGGTACCGATGAGGACAGAGGATGTAGCGTTGATGGGAATGGACGAACCGGCGGTGCCGAAAGAAGTCCCGCCGCCTCCGACCGTGCCTCCTCCTAGTGGTGAGTAGAATTTTTATAATCTTCTGGTATTTAATGGTTTAGTAATTACTTATTGTCATAATCAGGTCATTTAGTCTCCACTGTAGCTTTTTTAAGTAGTATAAGGCTTGCTCTTGAATATAATTTCATCCGGGGGTGCAGATATGATGGGGGTGCGACTAGCGAGCTTACCCATAAGATACTTGTTTACTCGTGACTTGGAGGCTTCATGGCTGTAAGACCAAATGAGCAATTGGCCTACACTTCCCACGCTAGTCAGAAGGGTTGGGGAAGCCTGATATTGCCATATTTATCCCTAAGATTTAGTTTATTCCCGTCACATCCATGAGAAGAAGAGTGTAAGTGGTCCTATTCCACTATATTGGAAACATTAAGGAACTGGCTGTTTTATAAAAACAATCATATCTTTCCTCTTTCTAATATTAGTATAGAAAACCAACACGATCAAAGATTGAAATGTCTCTTAGTAGGTCCATTATTAAGTACCTACTGCACTGATTTTTAACTTTCCAAATCGTATTAATTTAATGGGTTTCCAAGTAACAAAAATACTACCGAATGGAGAACCTCAATTTCTTCAACTCGGTAATTTTTTCTACGGTTAAGTTTATACTTACATACAAATCATTGGGTAGAGTACGTAGGTACTCCACCTTCATAAAGATTCGTTGCTAAACTATTACGATAACGGTTAGTTAGAACGTTTGCGAAGACCTTCTCACGACATCCTGACCTTTATCATGACAGAAGGGCATTATAATTATTCAGAGTTATCGGTGCTTCCGTTGTAGTATTAATCGAATCGTGAACGTCGTCTCAATAGTAAATAATACGTATACTCTGCGCATGTAAAGGCAGGCAATATTTGAAACATAAATAAGCGTAAACTGACACCAAAACTACATACAACAAAAAGGCACATAGTACACAGAACTGACGGCCGATGGGGCAGCAAGGTTCTGGAGTGGAGGCCATGTACCGGAAAACGCAGCGTGGGACGTCCACTCATAAGGTGGACCGACGACCTGATATAGGTAGCAGGAAGGCGCTGGATGCAGGCCGCTACCACAACCGTGCGATGTGGAAGTCATTGGGGGAGGCCTATGTTCAGCAGTGGACGTCCTGTCGCTGAAATGATGATGATGACGAAATCAAAACTGCCTGTGTATGTCATGATTTTAACATGAAACTGCCTGTGTATATCGTGATCAGTGTAAACCTACATTATGTGCAAAGTGAAGTTGGTAATTCTAATTCTAATATCAGGCAGAGCCCATAATATTATGTGTTAGTAAAAAAGATTCTAAGAAATATCATTTAAAATTTTGAAGTTGGGCATGCGGAAGTACCCTTTACCTCTGAGTCAGAGGTAATTCCCAATTCCCATCGATCCACAAAGTATTAATGAGGATATTGAGACATGTAAAGAGCTTCCTAAGACTTAAGTATTCTTTATTTTTTTATTTACGCGACTGTGCGACGGGCGCCCGCAGTGAGTGTGCGATCGCGACAGCAACATAATTACGCGCGAGCGATAAGGATGGGTTGCTTGGGGTCATTGGCCAAAATTTTACGTGCTCGGAGACCGGGCTTTAAGTCAAATGAAGACATTTACACCCGTATTCACAAACCATGCTTGCTGAAGTGAAGCAGCAACGCTATGCGATGTCGAACGCACAGCGTTGAACAGAGCTCTGTGATTGGTTCGTGTGTGTCACTCAAGTATTGTCTATGAATAGGTTTTTGGGACCCTGTGCGTATGCGCACTGTAATGTTTGTGAATACGAGTGTACCTATGTTTCATTTCTGCTCGGTTTCTATGTCTGAGAGTCCTCCACCTGGACATGAGCTCCCCTGGCTTACCTGGAAGTCTTTAAATAGACTTCGGACGCAGGTTGGCCGTAGTAAGGACAATCTGGCCAGGTGGGGATTCTTGGATGGCTTGAACATGGAGTGCAGATGCGGTTTTGTTCCCCAGTCGATGAGGCACCTGATGTCATGCCCTGAGTGCCCAAGCAACTGCACTCAGGAGGATTTGATGAGTGCTACTGACAACGCCACTCTTGTGGCGGAGTTTTGGGCTGACACTGTGTAGGTTTGTTGTCGACACGAAAAGAAGAAGAAGATTTCTGCTCGAGTCTTTTTTATCATCTATACTAATATTATAAACTAGCTGACCCGGCGAACTTCGTACCGCCTTAGCGTAGAGATTTTCTTTATATTTTTTTCCGTAAAAACCTTGTACAGAGTATTAGAAAACTACAAAAAAAAAATCAGCCAAATCGGTCAAACCGTTTTCATGTTATGTCGTGACAACGGAAAACGGGTTTCATTTTTATATATATAGATGCGAAAGTAACTCTGTCTGTCGGTCTGTCTGTCTCGCTTTCACGCCTAAACCACTGAACCGATTTTGATGAAATTTGACATAGAGATAGTTTGAGTCCCGAGAAAGGACATAGGATATTTTTATCCCATTTTTTGAAACAGGGACGCACTCGATAAAGTTTTTCTGTGACAGACAAAATTCCACGCGGGCAAAGCCGCGGGCGGAAAGCTAGTAATCTATATATTTACAAAATTGACAGTTGCTATTGGCGCAGAATACATATTTATAGCAAATGATGAATGAATGTGCTTTTTCATTATTTAATCACCGGAAGCGTCTTGTAAAAGATTTGGCTGCTTGATTTTGTTCTCATATACCTGCATTATGAGTTCGTTCCTATGTCAGAGGTCGCGGATTCGATTCCCGCATGGTACAATAATTTGTGTGCATGAACATAATAATTATGTTTATATTGGTTTGAACGTTTTAAATGTGAATTTGCATGCGTGGGAAGTGTTTATAGTTTTATAATAGCCACGATAGCCAAACGGTGAAGGGGTCGGAGTGGCCGACTCGAGATCCGAGGAACGCGGGTTCGAATCCCACCGCCGCTCGACTATTGTGGTGAGCCCACTCGTAACACAAGCTTATTTAGCTTAACACGAGGGGCTAATGGGATTATTAGTAATTTGAGCAATACAAATTGCTAATAATCTTTAAAAAAATATATCTTATTTTAGTGTAGGGTCCATTTCTCTCTGGTAAATTAGAGGGGGTATTGGAGACTAAATTACCAAAATGATGATGTTTATATTATTTAGGACCGATTCGACCAAACTTTCATCCGAGAATAACTCCTGTTGGTATTATAACTGGCACATTGACAGTTTCACGCCCGTATTCACAAACGATGCTTGCTTAAGTGAAGCAGCAAATCGAACGCACAGCGTTGAATAGAGCTCTGTGATCGGTTCGTGTGTCACCCCGCTCATTGTCAGACATCATAGTAATGTTTGTGAATAAGGGCGTAAGTATGGGAAATATTTCAAAACTGACGATTTATTCTAAGATTAATATTTACTATTGTTTGGTCGGATCCTTCCTTAGGGATTTTTCAAAATATTTAAAATGCGTTTGTAAACTGTATTTTTTTTGTTAATCTTTATAGTAATTTATAAAATAAATTGCGTTTTATTTAAGTACCAATTACTTATAACAATAAATTTTCCTAATATATTAATATTATTTACAATAATATTTAACTATGAGTATTTTTAAAAATAGTTTAACAAACTCAAATAAAATCTAACGGAAAAATCGCCACATTTGGCGCAATAGTAACTTATAAGAGAGCCTTTCATGTTAGTTACAAACCAAGATCTAAGTTAGTTTAGCTCGAATACCTGACGCAGTTTTTCATCATCATCATCAACATCACTTCAGCCACAAGACGTCCAAGACGTCCACTGATCCACAAGACTGGACCGACGACTTCATAAAGGTAGCAGGAAGGCTCTGGATACAGGCCGCTACCAACCGGGCGATGTGGAAATCATTGAGGGAGGCCTATGTTCAGAAGTTTTCTATAGTTATGTGAAAACTGAAAACTACACAAACTCTATGGGAAACTGCGTCAGCTATGAGTATGTGAGTTTTTGGTTTTTTAACGTCGGTAAATGCTTTGCGCATACTGGTCGATGGGGACGGCCAATGGGTTATGTGGGACTCTCTCTGCCTGCTCACTAAAGACGGGACCTACCCATTAAAACCCGACGGTGTCCACCGGAGCCCAATGAAACGGAGCCGCGAGTTATTTTCCTAACTTGGACATTAAAATTTGTTCGCAATGCGAGCTAAGCTGACTAACTTAGCTTAGATCTTGGTCAGGAACCGGTGTTAGGGCTCTTTCAAATAAGACGGTTTGAGCAGGACGTCAGTCGTGCGTTTGCAAGCCCTCACATAAGACTGGTTTCGCAATACCTCCGATCCGATTCCGTGAAGTCTGGAGTAGTCGTAGAGCTATGTGTATGGTAGGTTTACGCACTAGATCCTCTCTCTGGTAGTTTCTTGGATCCGTTTGACGGATTCTGATCGGACGCAGTGTGAAACCGCTCTACAAAACTTGTACTTTGGGTACCAGACAACTGTTGGTAATTGTCATTTTTATAACAAAAAAGGATAAAACGGACACTCCGTTCCATGTGCGGTTCTGCAACCAGGTGTAAACAACAAAAAGTCGGTGGCCTTTCTAGGCTTACGCGCCACTAACGTTCGGCTCAAAACGTTGTTTTTGAAAGAGCAATATTATTCAGCAATATACTTTTGACAGTGACATAGCAAGGAATACCAGCTAGTTTGTGAAATATTGCAGGGCATCCCGGCTATACTAGGCTAATTAGTTAATTAACACGTCACTCTGACATCAGAGATTGAGATATGCGCCTGAAAATTATCTGACATGTAAGTAACATAAAATATACAACTTTATAAAACAATGGTAAAACAACTATCTTTTAGATAAGTGACATGTATTCCTAGTTTGAGAGCTCACATTTATATAATTCGTTTATTGGGGAATAGTCCCTATACCCACCGCTGCCACTCCTGGTTAGCCAGGATCTACAGCTTGACCACCGCTAATAACCCAACCAGTCCAGACCAAGTTTTATTTGGGCACTTTGGATGGACAGTTTCAAAAGTAACAAACCATTGGACAATCCACACAACTAGCTTCATAATACTATATTTACAATATTGCTAGTTTGTTCCTTCATTCGTTTGGTGAAAAATCCACATTCAATTCTTGTCTCTTGCCTTCGTAATCTGTTCTTGTTGGGGGCTGACCTCCTGAAATGATAAATATTCAAGAATTAGATTATTACTTCTTCAACAAAGACTCCTAACCCGGATATCCTGTTTTCCATATCATAAACTATAGCTACACCAAATTTCATCAAAATCCGTACTTAGTTTTTGTGTGAAAGAGTAATAATAAATGTTCATCTATCCTTTTAAACTTTCACATTTATAAACTGTTAGATTTTTTGGCGGGAATGTAAAGAGGCAGTCTTCTTATGGTTCCTGAATATTAATATTAATTACTAGCTTTTGCCCGCGGCTTCACCCGCTTTAAATTTATTTCTGTCACAGATCGTCATAAATTATAGCCTATAATATGTTACTCTGGGTTATAAACAATAGTACTGTAAAGTTTCATCAAAATCCGTTCAGTAGTTTTTGCGTGAAAGAGTAACAAACATCCAGACATCCAAACTTTCGCATTTATAATATTAGTAGGATAGTAGGATCATTACCTCCACTGTCTGACCCTATAATTTCTTCTTAGGATCTTCCTTTCGAACTACGCAACGGATTTTGATACGGTTTTTTTTAATAGATAGTGACTCAAGAGGAAGATTTATAGGTATAAAACATGCATATTATAGAAAAGCCGGGAAATTCCATTGCAACCGTGCGAAGCCGGGGCGGGCCGCTAGTAAGATATAAATATCCTTAAAAAAGACTGGCTGTAACTATACGAGTATGTGCAAATCGCACAAAGTAAACTCTCGAAGCCACGATAGCCGAACGGTGAAGGGGTCGGACTGGCCGAATTGTGATCCGGGGAACGCGGGTTCGGTCCCCACCGCCGCTCGACTATTGTGGTGAGCTCACTCGTGACACAAGCATATTTAGCTTAGTACGAGGGGCTAACGGGAGTATTAATAATTTGTGTAATAACAAATTACTAATAATCTTTTAAAAAAAAATAATTGATTTGTATACCAACCATCATTTTTGTGTTTCGTCAACACCAATTCAGCTAAATCGGCCTTCGCTTTCGCTTCTCTCAGTCTCTCCCTCAAAATTTGCATCTCCATATCATGAATCTCATTCACCCTCCTTAATCTATCCCTCCTTTCCCTATCTTTATCTTCATCGTCACTATTTCCATTGGGTATACTTCCAAAACTGAGGAGTTTTGGTATAATTGGGATCGGGGTGGTGCTTTGGCCTTGACAGTTTGTTTCTGGTGTGTGACGGTGGTGACTGGGCAGGGAGAAATCTGAACTGTTCTCTGATTTCGCTGTATCTGGAATGAAAAATGTAGAACTTAGGAAAATTCTATCTATACTTCTCACAGTATTAAAAAAAAATGTTTAATTGAAATTTTGTACTTAAAACTTTATTGTACAAAAAATTTAAAGTACAATAGGCCCACTTAGCAAGTATTTTTTAATGAATTTACATCAAAAAGACTACGAAGTGTTGTGCATTATATTAATTAATTACAAAAATAAGTAACTAAAAATTAAATCTTACCGATTAAAAAATTTATCTTTCTACCGACCTGTGTTAAAGCTAGGAGTACTTTTAATTATTATCGGAGCGTAGAGATCTTGCTCGCCTTGGTCTGACAGTGGGTCTGGGTTTGTTATACGTCGAGTGAATTCCTTCTGTCGTTGCTTGAGATTTGCCCACAACCTTCTCAGCTGTTTACTTGTGACCTGAAAATAAAATAAGGTTTTAATGAAAATACAATTTAAATATGCCTATTTTAAAAAATCACAACTATGATAATTGATAACCAATTTGATATGGTTAAATTCTAACTAGAATTTGATAAAAATTCTTCTGTAACTTTTATAACTAAGTGTATTTAGCCATGCCAGTATTGCCAGTGCATGTTGTGATTCATAGCAAACTACCTGACCGTCTATGTTCATAAAAGAAATGTAGGATGTATGATGAAAGAATTTTCCAAATCGGTCCAGTAGTTGCAAAGCCTATTAAACACAAACAAACAACCAAATCTCCTCTTTATAATATTAATGTAGATTCTCTTTTAAGAATGTACAACTCTGTGGGCACTGGCCCGTAATATCCCAGACCTGGGTATAATAAAAATAAGAAGATATTTGGCTCGAAGCGCTGGTAAAGCCCAAAAGATAAGAAGACGTGTAAATGTGCCCCATAAGGGCTACCTTTTCTTTTTTATTATTTACTATATTTTGACGTTCATAAGTGCCACTTGTGGTCTAAACTGAATAAATATTTTTTATTTTGATTTTGATTTATGAACTATTTTACAAAGAAAGGTGGGGTCAGGTGCCCGTACATTCTAGAACAGAGCTAGCAAAGGCAACCACGTATAAACCAGCTAGTTAACCACAAGCATTTAGTAGATTATTTACCTTATTATACGTAATACTAGGATGAGAGTTGAATTCCGCTGCCACTCGGATCCAAGCTTCGTTTTTGGTGCGGGCCGACGCCGCATCCGTACCTTTGTTTTCTACTATTGTCAGATAAGTTTTAACAATATCTCTAAACACCCGCTTCTCTACAGGCGTAAATACATGCTTTTTGTTTTCCATTTTGGTAAAATAAACAATTTTCGCACAACCAAAATAGCTCTACATTATGTGACAGTGACAGGACTGACAGCTACGTCAAGTCAACACAAAGTTGGATGCGTTCCGTTTCACATGAAAATAAGTTTAATTTTCCAAAAAAAAAAATTTTTTTTGTTTTATTATAAACAAAGAATAGTTATCAATTTCAAATAAAAATTAGAATTTTTGTATAATTTGATAAAATGGTAGGTATTATGAATAATTAATAAAAAAAATGTGTCCTAGAAACGAAACGCATCTAGGTTACCTTGATAGCACTGTAGTTCCACTTCCATCGCAGTTGCAATCAATAATCTCAATTTTACGTACGCAGCAGCATCCTTCATATCAATAATAACTGCATACCAGTCAGGTGTCACTGCAAGCGATGATAGAATACCAATCATGGTCAGTATAGTTAAACTGGATGTTTTTTTTGTGCTTAATTTTTGTCATTAAATTTTTTTTCGAGACTGCCAGTTGTTTTTATTTTCTCTCTATCTGTCTTTGTCTGTTGCGAATGCTTTGTTCCTGACCTGCCCCAGTGCTACCTGTTGGTGTTTTAGTGAATGATAAATGTTTTCCAGACTTTTCCCTTTCCCCCGTTCGCTCCCTCAGTGTTTTCCTCCCTTGACCTCGTTACAAAATGGGTTTATGGGGGACTCACACCGCGAAAAAATAAAAGACCTTATGCCAAGAGCGCTTGGGCGATTGTGGTGTGACTCCCCATACCTTTTCAGAGATCTGTGTTCTATCTATCTATCTTTTTTTTATCTGGATGAGTTTGCAAATCGTGACCTAGTTTTCGTCTCTCTCTCCCTAAAAGCGATTTCGCACTACATCCGATATGAGTCCGTGAAAATACGGTCCGGTATAGTCGTAGAACTAATTGTATGGGAGTTATCGCATTAGATCCATTTTTCTAGAGATTTTTGACGGATTTAGGGACGTATTGTGTAATTTTTTGCTCTAATATTAGCGGAATGTAGAGATAAAGGATATATGGAGCTGATCTTTCGACTTCTTATGATAGATTCTGTCGCCTTCTCTCTTTCTCTTGCCATGAAAGGCAGTAGAGAGTGATATACTGACTATTACTGACTTCTATTGCGGATAATATGGGGTGTTGTAAAGTTTTTGTTTTGCTCCGGTCTATCTGTCCTTGTCGGTCATATTAGCATCTCTCTATCTCTCAGAAAGGACGAACTCAGTATCTACTGATGCACTTTATAAGACTTTATAAGAGCTTTAGCTTGAAAACTACAGATTTTTAGTCGGCCGATAGTTTGTTCGGGCTACCAGTATGAACATGGAAGTGCGCACATTACGCCGATTTGATATCAGCATATTCATCATACAAATTCGAAGGCGGCCAAATTACAAGCTGACTAACGCTCGTATTCACAAACGATCTTGCTTAAGTGAAGCAGCAAATCGAACGCACAGCGTTGAATAGAGCTCTGTGATTGGTTTGTGTGTCACCCTGTGCGTCCACGTGCACTGTGAAACTTCATAGTAGTGTTTGTGAATACGGGCGAAAAAGTTTGCGGAGAGTGCTGTCTTTTACATCGAATAAATCAATATACAAATTAAATAAGTGTACCTATCCAATTACCTGGACTTCGATTGGCCGAGGATTCTGCGCATGCTCTGAAATTCTGAATCCGTACCTGTAACAAAACTAGGTCATCCGGGGATACTGCATTATATGAAGGGTCACTGCAATAATGATGAACAGACTACGGCACGTCAAGCTTAGGACTTTAGGTTCTTATCCAGTTGTAATAGGGGTGATATTGCTACAAAAATGTATATAGTTGATTGTGCAATGACAGGACATTATAAATTGTACTTTTGCTGCAAAATAGTATAGCTAGGGACTGGAATTCGCTGCCTGCTATCTTTCCCGAAGACTATAAACCGGGCCTTCTCAAGGCGTTAGTGAATAACAGTCCGTTACTTTCACTTGGAGATTATTGTTTTGGAAATGGTGGGGACAAGGAATTTTTCTATGTAATTAGAAACATTGACATTTTAATTTACGGATTGACCCTTATAAACCACAAGAAATCATAACCAAATCCCAACCAATAGTCATTCATAGCCCTCATTAACTCAATAGTCCATCAACTCAAGGGGATCAACAAAACATAGCATGCAAATATATTGTTTGATCTCTCGCATTTCACGTTTGGTAGCAGACTGTATCCATTAGCAGACTGGAATCAAACGCCCTTTGCGCTCAGAACTTCCGAAATTCAATCAACTATGAGCACATTAGTAGGCACTTTAACCAAAAACTCAAAAAGTGACGAACCAAAAAAAAAATTATGACGTGACAGAGCTTTTGAATCTGAAGAAGATCTGAAGTCTCGCTGACGTTTGACGTTACAAACACCCTCCTGTACCGCCCCCATATTTCAGGCACTGTCTGAGTTAAGCGATAGACCTATAAAACTTCTACTAAACTTCAGGAAAATTTAAGACTATAAAATGATATTTAAGATAATTATTGCCTAATCCTATTAGGGCCCAAGGCTGGCTAGTTTACCTCATTTAGAGCCCATGTGAATTTATAATCGTTAAATTATGCATCGCGCCAAAACTGGTCTTTGGCTTGACCTTACTTATACACTTGATGCAAAGTTAAACCTTTGCAGAAGATATTCAATTTCGCCTTTTAATTAACTTAGAAATAGCACTGTTGATAGCGTTTGATTTCACAATAGATTTTGCCTATTGTTTATGTAACTTGAAAATATAGGGAGGGAATCCTCCATGATTTACCTTAGTTACCCGGATGCGCCAGAAGGAGGGTTATTATTTACTTTTTTTCTAAATCAAATTGTGTCATAAACGGCACAATGAACTAAATACATTTCTTCATCTTCTTCTTATTCGTTACGCTCTTGGCAGAGCGGTAGTTGTCGCGTTGAGGCGTTGTTCACATTGGTTGTAGAGGCGGATACAACTCTCCGCACGATCTCCCGCCATCTCTCTCTATTGGCAGACTGTCTGGTGCAGTCACATACGCCGTCTCCCACTGCTGATTTCACTTGGTCGGTCCAGCGCATTGGTGAACTGCCTGAAATACATTTGGAATGGCACAATTTAGGAGCTCTCATAGTCAAGGAGTGTTGTCTTCCTTCCAAGAGAGGACAATAAAATTTTATAGGATCTGGGGGCACGGCAGTGCCCCCACCAAGTCGAGCAAAAAAGCGGCACGGCCGTACCATCCTTTTCTCGAAGCAATTCAGGCCATTTTCGACCGCCTGTAACTTCGTTGTGGATAAAACTAGAAGGCTGAATTTTCATTAGCTATGCAGGCATTGTAAAGACACGGTATATTTAAAATTTCATTCAATTTGAACCAGTAGTTTAAGAATTATAACGGGTCAAAGTTACTTAATTTTGTCACTCACTGACTCACTGACTCACTGACTCACTGACTGACTCACCGATCATCAAAATTCTAAGGCACTTCTAGCAGACCTAGAAGCTTCAAATTTGGAATATAAGTAGTGTTTGGTGTATGAATCAAGGAAAAACTAAAATATTTGGGGGCACGGTAGTGCAACCGCCAAGTCGAGTAAAATTTTTCAATTTCGGTCCAGTTTTCTAGATACATAACTGCTGTCTACAAAATACAAAAAGAAATGAGATCCCATCAAAAACAATACTTGTCAAAAAAACCAAGTCTCGCAACTCAGTTGTTCTACGGTAAAAAGTTGTGAGATCCATGTAATACCAAGTCCAGGCCAGGAAATCTTTAACGTTTTACATAAATATATTGACTTGGCCATCGCATGAAAACACGAGTAAATTAAATTATTTAGTGCGATGGCCAAGTCAATATATTTATGTAAAACGTTAAAGATTTCCTGGCCTGGACTTGGTATTACATGGATCTCACAACTTTTTACCGTAGAACAACTGAGTTGCGAGACTTGGTTTTTTTGACAAGTATTGTTTTTGATGGGATTTGATTATATCTAAGCCCTTCTTATACATGAGTTTTTCTTGGAAGAATTGACCACCCCAGACAGGATGTGAACCTGCAACCATTCCTATTACTCTATTAATAACGAATTTTCTTATTTGTTCCAGGTGCCTCCAGCTACCGGATAACTACGAGGAAGAAGATATACGCGCAGATCCCTGGGCTTAGTTCGCAGACGGGAGGGTCTAGCTCCCAAATGCCAGGTCTAAACGCGGACGGGGTCCCAGGGCTCCGACCCGGGCTGGGGCGCCGCCCCCCGCCAGAGGAACAGCCGCCAGTGCCTGAGCATCGGCCTCTGACCAGAGAAAACCGACCTCCCTCCTCGCAACCTTCTCATGGGGCAAGAAGCCATGCGCCTACGTCTCGTTCTCAGTTGCCGGAACGACCGCCTTTAGCTCATTCTGCTACGCCAGAGAATAATGCTTCTAGGCCAGGCAACAATGCGTCCATGGCAGGAAATAATGCTACAATGCCAGGGAATAATGCTCCATTGTCAGGGAATAATAACTATATCCCAGGGAGCAACGCCCGCACTCCAGGGATTAACGACTATATCCCTGGGAATAACGCTCATATGCCAGGAATTAACGACTATGTCCCAGGGAACAGCACCCACAGGCCAGGAAGTAACGATTATATCCCTGGGAACAACGCACAGAGGCCAGGGATTAACGACTATATCCCTGTAAACAACGCATATACGCCAGGGATTAACGACTATATCCCAGGGAACAATGCCCATATGCCAGGATATCAAGTCCCGATGCATCAGCAACCGTTTGCGGCAGGATCTCATGCTCCACAGCAACCCTTAATACCGTTTCCTTTACTAGGAATGGGCGTTCCTGATGCAGGGTATTACACTCCTCTAGCGGGGTACCAAGCTGCGGTACAAGTGCACTACGATCCGGGGTACCACGGCGGTAGTTATCCCCCGAACTATTCAGTTCAAACATATCAAATACCTCCAGTACATCCGCCAAGGCAAGATTGTTACGTTCCACCAGACCGCCATGCCCCTCCTGGTTTTCCCCAAAGGGTTTCACCCGCATACTCGCCCAATCCACAGGCTGATACGAAACCGACTATGTTTCACGAGTACATGAATCGCCGCAGGTCTTTTCAACACGATCTCTACAATTTAGGGGTTCCACAAAACCACGCTCAGTCCGATGATCAAGTGGCCAATGTTTACGCGACACAACCTAACGTGACTGTACCTTCCAGAAATACTGATAGATCAGTTACTATATACCAACCATCGGGTCTCCCACATAGGCTGCCTTTACGCAGAACTACGACGCCGGATCCATCAGAAGTTTGTCCCTCAGATGAAATTTTACGAGCTTTAGATCCTTGCAATATTTTCAATCCAGCAGCACAACGGTCATCACAGGCAGTTCCACGTACATCACAGAATATAATTGGGACTCCGTCTCAAATGCCACAAGCTGCGAGCTCTCACCAGGGTATCAAAATTTTTAATCCACTAGAATCGCATCAAGATACTCCAGCTCAAAATTTGCCGCCACCAGATCTAACAAAATCTGTAGGCACATCAAAAGAGTTTAACATATTAAACCCTCTAGAAGCTCGCGGTCAAGATATTAGGCCTGCAGCAGTCAAAGAGAACGAAGCCAATTTGTTTACGACAGTTGAACAAAAAGCACAGCAATCTAACCCGCCACCACCGATCCAAGGACCGTCAAGTGTTCCATCGACTTCGATCATTCCGCCCCCGCCCATGTTCTCAAATCTTGCTAGAAGAGATAGCCAGTCTTCTGTAGGAAAGGCAGTCTTACCTCCGTCTGTAGCCAGGCGCATTGGAGCTCACCACCCCATTATAAAACCTCAAACAATGCAGCCTGCCTCAATTCCTACTGGCAATATCTTCGTTCCTGCAACAACATCCAACGACAGTGGTAGATCTCCAAGCGCATCTGACCTGCCAAGGACAGACACACCACCAAGTACCAATGTACCTTCAGCGTTCGTCCAATTCCACGCGTCTTCGCCATCGGTTGTCAATTCCAAGTCAGGGTTCATTGATGGGGGTATCTCAACTATTTCCATACCATACAAGCAGCCCCAAATGCGATACGGGTATGACTGTGATCATGAGTTCCCACCAGCGTGGTTCCCGCCTGGTCCACCTGTGCAAAGGCCTAATGACAGACCTTATGCAGTCCCTGATGATGGGTCAAATGACACGCCGCCGCCGCTACCTCAACGGCGACCGAAGAGAAATACGTGCCAATGCTTTGACCAAGAACCGGCGTCAAATGATGCTGAGGTTTCTGAACCTGCTGCTGAACAAACTACTGCAGAGGCAGAATACGATGCTCCTAATGAAGAACAACAGGCTCCAGTAGCAGAAGACCCCACACCAGAAGCCGCTAGAGCTATTCCTGAACCTCCTAAAGTGACTGGGAATTTAAATTACCGGATGACAAATAGAAGGCCTCAATATTACTCCGGGCCGATAGAAGGCGTTGGAGCTATAAGTAATAGTGTAAGGCCTGTTATACCGACAGCAGAGCCTTATGCTTTTCAAGGCGCCGTGTTCATCCCTAGCGCACCTCAACCAGAGGCTTCCGATATCGAACCAGCTCCGTTTGATATAAGCCAACCGACTAATTCAGCGTCTTATGCCCAGAATGATATAAATCAAGCTCAAGCTACTGCTCAACCGGGTTACAACACTGCTTTTGATGTAAGCCGACCGATTTCAGAACCATTCGAACCCCCTCAAGAGTCCAAAGGCTTCGGTATCATTGGATCTTTAAAATCTAAACTGAGTGCCCTAGATATCAATAAGATCCAAAATACTGTAACGACGTTCTTCGATCCTGCTTACAACGACGCTAAAGAAGCAGCGACAAATGAAGGAACTTCTCGTGATTACAATCAGGGGAGTTCAGCTTTTGGACAACTAGATGGCGGTTTGGAAATATTCGTGCCCAATAACGAGCAGAGTCAAACTTACACACAGGGTTATAATAGTCAATTGAATTACCCTAGTTATAATTATAGTCAAAGCAACCAGTATTATCAGAATCAACCGTATTACACGCAAAATCAAGGATACAGTTATGAACAGGGTTATGCTTCTCCAGACTCGCAAAATCAAGGATACAGTTATGAACAGGGTTATGCTTCGCCAGTTTATGGAAATTATTTACCAGATCCACCGTCAACTGTACATCCAAACGTTCCTGCACAAGTACCCTCATCGCAAGATGTTCAAAGACAAGTCTCAGAGGCTCCTGGTCCGAGCCAAATTCCTTCAGCCCGTATACCTGATGTAGTGCCTTTGATTGAGCCAACCAATCAACTAATCGTTGGAGATAATATAGAGCGTGCGATTGAGGAAACCAATCAACTCGCTTTAGTTGAACCTGAAGCTGAAGAAATTGTAAAAAAACCTATGGCTAGTGAAACACCGATGGAGACCAGTTCGGCGTTAACGCAAAGTTATAACTCGTTTATCAATAACAATGAAGCGATTTCAACACCAGTGTCTATATTTTCGCAAATAAATGTAGACACTAACAAGAATAAACCAGTCAATACAGACTCGAATTCAGAGCCACAGGCATCGCTGAATTTCTTTGACAATCAACAATTTCATGTACCAACTACAAATGCAGATATTAGTGATCAGTTGAAGAATATGCAAATATCTCAAAACAGTGTTGTCGAGAATTCTTCAGCGTCTTCAGTATTCTTAAATAATAATATTCAACATGACGTCAAAAGCAGTATTGACTTCTTTGAAAATATAACTATTGTAACCAAACAAAGTGACACTGAAACGAATAACGCTGACTCTGAGACGAATATGGGCAATAATTTACTGCAGATTCAAGAAAGACAGGACAGTGTATCAACAGTTGACGTGTCTTCTGTCCCGCTATTCGATTTGTCCACAATTCTTGCTGCAAAATCAAAAGAAAGTGAGGACCATGATGTTAAAAATGTTGCTTTGGAAGGAGCGGACAGAAAGAAAGTCGATAGTGGTTCTAGCATCGATTTTACTGAGAACATAAGTACTTTACCTCAACCACTGACAGATGAAGAAAACGAAGGTGTCTCTGAACTAAGCATTTGTGAAACATGTCGAGAAGTTACCAAACCAGAGGAAAAAGACGTTGATGATTTAACTAGGCAGCTGATTGAAAATATTACCTCACCAATACAGCTATCAAATCCTGTGGTCGCTCCTCTTACAGAGAGTAACACGCCGGTTGATGTTCCAACAGATTTTGAGTCAAATCAATGCGCTGAGATATCACATATAACTGAAGAAACGATTGAAACTATTCAAGTACAGTCTGCCACTGAGTTATTAGATGAGGTTGAAGATATACCGATTAGCAACGTCGTTAACTACGGTTGGAAAGACGAAACATTTAATGCACCATCTGAAGTGCTATTAGACCATGACTACACTTTTCAGATGGATCCTAATGTGCTAGGATTTTACGGGAGCAATGCTATGTTCTTCGAGAACATTCCTAATAATGCATCAGATGAGTTGAAAGCTGAATTTAAAAGTTCTCAAGAAGATTCACCAGTGGTTCTGCCTTCACCAATAAGTGTGCCTTCAGCGCCCCCAGCGGAAGACGATGATACTAAATCGGACGAAACTGGTGGACTTGACGTTCATTCCATAGAGCAGGATGCAAAGAAAGACTTCCCCATTTTCGAAGAGTTCGTCATTGAACCATCTGAAACAGATGATGACAAAATAGAGTACAAAGAACGGGAACGAAGCTCAGACGATCCGGACCCGGATGTAGATTCATTCACGAATAGAGTGGAGAAGTTCAAGAAAATGGAAGAGACTGATAATGATGATTTAACAGAGGAGCAGAAGAACATGCTTTTCGATATCGCATCGGCCAGCCAGAACGCTATCGCGAGCCCCTCCATCGCGATTGCTTCGTATTTTGACACGGGAAACTTTGCTGTCGAATCGCATTACAGAAATTCGCTCTCATCCCCTTCAGGGCTGCATTTCCAAATGGGTTCTCCCGAAATCCCTATGCGCATTCCGCCAGGCTTTGAAAACGAATTCAAGAGGAGACTAAGTGGTTTGATCGCTAAAGACAATACAATGCATGACATCAACGATGATAAGGATAAGGATAAAAATCTACCGAACATTCCAGAAACATCAACCCAAACGCCTGTAGTATCCACTACTACATACAGCAGCGTGTCAAACGTTGGCGAAACCACTGTCACGTCATCGAACATTGGCCCAATAGCTTCGGAGGAAAAGCCTAAAGTGCAAGAAAGTGATATACCAACATTTGCAGTATTCCGCCAAGATTCGGGCGATGCTGCGTCTCCTCTAGCTAATATTGTGAAGAAAGAGACAGCAGAACCACCAGCAGCAATCATTACATCAATTCCTGTGACAGAAAATCTTCCAGACCCTATAGGCTTCTTTTCTTCTGCCCAAGAAGCAACAAATGCTGAACCTGACAATAACTTCAATAGATTAGCTAGTTATTTCACAACTCCAGCCAAAACGGACCCTGAAAAGTCTTTTTTTGAGCTTAGTCAAAGTCAAAACCATTATAGGCATGCCACATCAATTTCTAGTAATAATTTAATAGCTCAAAACGTACCAAGTAGCAATTTATTTTCAAACAATAACATTCCAGCCGACGCTTATTTAGCAAACATACAACTTATAAAAGACTTGACATCACCCCAAAATATCGAAATAAATAAAGATCAAATCGTTCGAACTGTGAATTACTTTACCGTGGAATACGACAACGATGAATTCAAAATAAAAACAGATGATATTAAAAAAGATGATTCAAAAAAAGAGAATTTAGATAAATCTACGAATTGTACTGAAGATGTGGAGGATGATGATAGTTTAAATGACGATAAAATATTGACTATTATGTCTAAATGCAAACACTGCTGCAATCTTGACCCTCGACGCGTTGTGACATTCAAAGTTGAGTTAGATAATGTTAATTTCAAAGTTAGGAAGGCTATGGACACGGAGGGATCGGATCCGAGTAAAGGTCCTGCAATGGAGGGAAAGAAAGATGAGAAAAAAACAGAAGTGACTGTTACGTTTGAAGATACTAATGAAGAGAATGCTGGGGTAGCGATCTTGTCTGAGGTAAATGTTTAACTATTAATAATAGATATTATTTTGTAATAATAAGTAATTGTGTTCTTACTTCATTGTGAAATGAAACGCCATGTTAAGCAATAGCCATTTAGTTTAAGGGCCTTCTCTTAAACGAGCAATGTTTTATGTTGTGAACGAAAATCAAGTTTTACATAAAATAAAATCTTCAGATATGTATGATATATTTTTAAAGGTATACATAGACAGAAACTCACATGTCGTGTACCATTTATGATATACAGGGTGGATAAGATAAGTGATCTCATTAGATTATTTCTAAACTATACAAGATATCGAAAAACTGGTCACTGATTCTGAAAGTGCTTCACGAGCTATTTCAAACGGTACCAACAATAGGTTACAGAATAAACTGGATCTATCCGAAAATTGGATCGGATCGGATCAAATCAGTGAAGGTCTGCATTACAGACTTATCCTGGTTTGCGTCATCTTAATTTTGTATTTGTATTTGTATTTGTATTAGGCGCAGGTCACAAATTTTTAGTTGGCCGATAGTTGGGTCGGGCTGTTAATCAGTATGGACATGTATGGAAGTGCGCACATTACACCGATTTGGTATCGGCCGATTCCTCATACAAATTAGAGTCGGGCCCAACTATCGGCCAACTAAAAGTCGGTGGTCTGCGCCTAGGCTTAGGGCTACATTTCACCGGGACACCACGGCGGCGCAACCAGTCGCCCGCTACCAACAAAACGTATACAGCTCTAGAGAGTTACTCACCTGGTGTCCGTTTGGTTGCGCAAAGCTGTATATGTTACGGTTAATGTGATAAATTGAAAATTATTAATAATAACCGGTTATTATGAATAATTACCGACAGTCGCGGTAAAAGTGATAAATTAATCACATTTAACAGTGATTATTTAATAATTCAACCTTAGTACTAACAAGTTTCATAAAAGAGAACAAACATATTGTGTACGTGCTCGTGTACAGCCAAACTTTTGAACGTTTTGATATCATATATTAATATAATTTGGCATAATGAGTTTGGAATGTTTCTTACATAATATTACTTTTCTATGATGCCTATAACATAATGTTTTGAAAAATAGATTAAGGTGCGGCGGGGGTGGCCCTTGGGTCACCCCTAAGCCGCCTATTTAGTTTTATACACACAAATGACCTCATATTAATCACATTTACCAAATCATGCGGTAATTATTCATAATAACCGGCGATTATTCATAATTTTCACATTTATCACTTTGACCGTAACATATACATTTTGTTGGTAGCGGCGACTGGTTGCGCCGCCATGGTGTCCCGGTGAAATAAAGCCCTTAAAGTTAAGGTGATGTAACTCAGACTAAATGACCTGATGGTAATATTTTCTAAATTCTAGAGCCGTTCGTCGTCCGACTACTCCCCAGTGAAGCACCACTGGTTCTACCGAGTCGACGTCGAGGGCAAGTCGATATGGCGCGGGTTTTCAGCGACGGATAGCAGGGCGCTGGAGGAAGCTTTCCACAGCCGTAAGTCCTACAATTCGTTCGTTCGTTTCAGCCGAAAGACGTCCACTGCTGGACAAAGGCCTCCCCCAAGGATTTCCTCAAAGACCGGTCCTGCGCCGCTCGCATCCAGGCACCTCCCGCGACCTTCACCAGATCGTCCTACAATATTCTTTTGTAACTGTCCTTTGTACTTCGATGTTTTTTGCAATAAAGTTTAAAATCATAAAAACTTGGCACAACCTACCTACCAAGGGCTTCCTCGTTGTGGATTAAAAAAATACTGATTTTCTTCCACTAATTCTTCTCTCAACACCAGCCGATTTATTGTCCCGAAGTAGTGCTAGAGCAAGCTATTTTAGGACGTATCACGCCGACAAAATGGTGGTATTATGAAAAATATTTTTAGGGTAGCTCTCCTACATGTAACGTGGGGAATGAGTTTTTTCTTCGTCTACCCGTCTATCGTGTGGGGTATCTTTGAATTGATTTAGGGTTTTTATTTGCCAAGACTATTTTTCGATTTAGAGATCCGTTTGCGAAATATGAAACTTTAAAGTGATAATTTTTTTATGGTCATCTAGCTGAACTATTAATTTGACAAATCTGGAAAAAATCATGATACTACTACTTTGATACTTTACTAATTGATCAACGTGGAAAACATTGGGGGAGGCCTATGTTCAGCAGTGGACGTCCTATGGCTGAAATGATGATGATGATGAAATAGTGCTTTTCATGAACTTTCAAAACTATAACGTTGTATACGATAGATCAGTTGGTTTGAGTTAAGAGTAACAGTCGTTAAACTTTTGTAGTGTTCTAAAAATAAAGAAAGTGATTAATATCTTTTTACAGCGGATCTGAACGAAAACACTCTGGTGGCTACCGACGGAGGCAGGTTTGACGTCAACGTGATGGGGCGGCTCCGCATTGCTGTCTACTGGCCGGATAAGCCAACGAATGTCAGGAGGTGAGTATTTAACATAAAGGCTACTTTTTACCTGACTACCCAAAAATAAGGGTAATGTTTTCAGTAGTAGGTAGTGGTTCTCACTCATGGGTTTTCTTAATTGCTACAACGCCTCGAGGTCAATAATAGCATGTAAGCTACGGCCCACGATACGATTTCGCTAAGTATGTGGTCATTCTGTGATTGCCTCAAGGCGTCGTGAGTTTTTTCATTAAAAATTCGCTCAGTGAGCGTTGGTCTTTGAGTGCAACATCCCTACTAAAGTTAGGTTAGCTTGGGGTCATTGTGCGAAATTGTATCTGCTCGGCGACCGGACTTTAATATTATAAATGCGAAAGTTACTCTTTCTGTCACGCTTTCACGCCTAAACCACTGAATCGATTTTGATGGAATTTGGCATAGAGTTTGAGTCCCGGGTAAGGACATAGGATAGTTTTTATCCCGGTTTTTGAAACGGGGACGCGCGCAAAACGTTTTTCTGTGACAGACAAAATTTCACGCGGGCGAAGCCGTGGGCAAAAAAGTAGTTTATAATATGGTAAATAAATAAAATAATAATGTTATTATTATAGGCATGTAGAGTCCCATATAATAATAGTAGTTTTTCTATGTTTTTAGATGCAGCTGGTTCTACAAGGGTGCTACTTTATACGTGCCGTACACAGAACCCATCGCTGAGAAGTTGGAGGTATGTCATTTTAGTTTCTTTTTTTACGGGTTATTTTATTATATTGTATATCCTTTCTCTTTATAACTTCAGGCTTCTCCAAACCTTCTTGCCAGAAGAGTATAGGCCATATTCTCCAATCCTTTTGCCTCATAAATTAGCCTCGTTCTCTTGCATTCATCATCATCATCATCTTCATCATCATCTCAGCCACAGGACGTCCACTGCTGAACATAGGCCTCCCCCAATGCTTTCCATGTTGATCGATTGGTAGCGGCCTGCGTCTAGCGCTTCCCTGCTACCTTTATGATATCGTCGGTCCACCTTGCGGCCTCCATTCCAGAACCTTGCTGCTCCATCGGCCGTCAGTCTCCGGCATTAGATACTAAATAACCTGATGTTTAAACATCCAAGCCTTTTTTTCACTCTGGTTATTTAGAGAAGGTCTGCTAAAGAAGAAAAAACATTTAAACCGTTAGTTGTTTATCAAAAAATTAGCGATATTATTATTGACGTCACTTTTTGTAAAGTGGTGACCTCACGACCCCCCCTCTTTAAGCTTTGACGCTTTTTATCTATATCAATTTTAATTGATTTGATAAATCAAAAAATATGTGCCAAAAATTGATAAGTTACCTGACGGACTAATTAAAACTTTCTTTTTTGTCCAGGCAACATCCATTATCATCTAACCATCCCATTTATATTCTAACTAGCGGCCGCCCGCGACTTCGTACGCGTGGATCCCGTTTTACCCCCTTAGGGGTGGAGTTTCGTAAAATCCTTTCTTAGCGGATGCCTACGTCATAACATCTATAGTCTGGTCCGTGAGCACGTAGAATTTTGTCCAATGACCCCAAGCTACCCATCCTTATCGCTCGTGCGTAATTATATTGCTGTCGCGACTGTGCGACGGGCGCCCGCAGTGAGTGTGCGAGCGCGACAGCAACATAATTACGCGCGAGCGATAAGGATGGGTAGCTTGGGGTCATTGGACAAAATTCTACGTGCTCACGGACCAGACTATACCTGCATGCCAAATTTCAGCCTAATCCGTCCGTCACCTTTGTCAGTCAGTCAGTCACCTTTGAGTTATGTATATTTAGATTTGTAACTCAATATTGCAGGAGGAATACCGCCACGGTGTGACCACAGGCGAGTGGCACAGGCGTTTAGTGCTGCCCAACAACGAATCAGTTGTGATGCACGGGCCGGCCGTCATGGTGCACTTCCCACAGTCAGCTTCCGATCCCTTCGGTTCAGCTCCCGTGAGTGACAAAAGTATTTTTAACCCCAACAGCTTTTGACCCGCATCTCCTGGCAACATGGAAGCACAAACTGGAAGAACACACACACTTTAACACAGATCTGTTCAGGTGAGGATTCTTGGATGGCTTAAACTTGGAGCGGTTTTGTTCCCCAGTCGATGAAGCACATGATGTTGTGCCCTGCGTGCCCAAACAACTGCACGCAGAAAGATTTAATGAATGCTGCTGACAACGTCACTCTTGTAGCAGAGTTTAGGCTGATACTGTGTAGGTTTGTGTCGACACGATAAGAAGAAGAAGAACACAGATGGATCTTTGATCTAACCTGGAGCGCATCTGTATTCCCAGTATCAGCTCTTAGACAGTTATTATTTGGGACTAGTTCGTTGGTACAGCACTGCAACTCCTGTGTAGTCAGAATAGATCCTCAGTGAAAAAACGGGACTATGCCCTTCTCACGTTTCCACCGCTGCAACTCCTGTATAACCAAGATAGATCCTTAGAGGGAAACGGGTCTATTCCCAACTCTCGTTCCCACCGCTACAGCTCCTGTGTAGCCAGGATAAATTCTCAGTAGAAAACAGTACTATTCCCACCTCTCGTTCCCACCGCTACAACTCCTGTGTAGCCATGATTTAGTCTAGTAGGAAACGGGACTATGCCCTTCTCTCGTTCCAACCGCTGCAACTCCTGTATAGCCAGGATCTTGTGGGAAACAGGACTATTCCCACCTTTCGTTTCCACCGCTGCAACTCCTGGATCTAGTGGGAACTTTCCCCGGGACAAACTTGTCCTTCACTGGTGGGGTTATTGGCGGTCAAGCTATAGATCCTGGCTACACAGGAGTTGCAGCGGTAGGAACGAGAGGTGGAAACTACACCCCCCAATATCCTTTCCCAATCCTAACCCCCCTTTTCTCCCTAGCTCTTCGCTTTCGGCAAACGCGTATACCGCAACCCGCCCAAGGTGAAAGTATCAAGAGACCAGCCCCTCAAGATGGATCACTTACTACTGCTGGTGCATGGGGCAGGAGAATACAGGAGCCAGAAAGAAAAGGTTGTAGGTTGTTTCAGAAATGAATGGGGAGTGAACGGAATCGTTTTACTAAGGCACTATTGAACGAGTGAACGGAACGATTCGACTTGGAATTGTTATTCATTTTTGATATGAAGGCCAACCAGTTGGCGCTATTTGATTTATCATTCATTCAATGACATGAAATGTTAAAAAGTTGGCGCCATTCTCGAATGATATGACTTTAATTTTGTTATAGTAATTTTGTGAACTGAATAAACTATTTTTTTCCTTATTAGGCAGATGGCACCACTATAAGGCCACTAATACGATAATTAGCGGTCACCAGTTGGTGCCGTCTTTCTTTTTCACTACATTTTGAAAACAACTGACCGAATTTATAGGTATCAGCAACTATATTTTAGAGTACAAAAAACAGACTTTTAATGCACAAAATAAATGACATATTTTAATGACAGTTAATGGGATATAGACACCAATCAGATGAATATTTTAAAATCTTACGTTCACTCGTTCAATTTATGTTATGAAGTTCATTCCAATATTTCTGAAACAACCTATACAGTTGGATGTGGAATCGAATGAATATTAATCGAAACGTTATTCGATTTCATACTCTCAATTCGCTGACAGCAAAAACAGTTGAAGGTGAACTTTCCGATGAACTTTTCGTGTAGATTGTGTAGAAAAGTTTTGGAGAATAGATTAATTGTAGTTCTAGATGTTTGACAGGATTTTTGTGCCAGTGTACTGGTTCCTTTGAGTAGGTATCAGATAGTTATCTGACAGGTAAAGCTATCTATCTAGAAAATAAGTGTGTAATAGAATAGGCTATCAGAGACTTACCCCCTTACTAATAAAACTTACACGCTCGTTGAACAGTATTTTAAAGTGACGTTTAGTGTGGAAATGTCATTTTAAAACAGTGTTCAACAACTGTGTAACTTTTTATTAGTAAGGGGGTTAATGAATAAGATAAGTGATAAAACATAGAACCTTGAAATTAATGTCCATATGTAAAAATAATGTCCATTTAGTAATGTATAAATAAGTAAAAAAATGTTGCCTTCAAACCTTAATAGAAAAGTATAAGTATTATTAAAAAAATTGAAAATTAGTTACGTTAGATTAATTAATATTCCATTAGCTTATATCAAAGATTATTAGAATATTTATCGATCAGTTGGCGCCCCTAACGAGTGGCCGGTCATTGACTCGCCGGGGGCGCCAACTGGCGTTTTATTTCAACGAGTATATACTTCACTAGCTTTCCGCCCGCGGCTTCGCCCGCGTGGACTACATTTTTTTTCCTAAATAAAATGTAGCCTATGTTACTAAAAGCATATTTGCACAAAATAAATGACTAAACTTTTTGTAGGAATCCACAATGCGCCCACGCGTCGTAAGGCGGGGCATAGACGAGGCGGAGATCGAAGACCCCGAACCATCGAGCATAGACCACCTGCTGCTGCTCTGTCATGGCGTCGGATCCGCTTGCGATATGCGCTTCAGGCCGGTTGAGGAAGTGGGTGAGTGACGTCATAGCAATACTACCTCCATAGCTGGACAAAGAATCTCCACAAAAACTGGTCCTGCGCTGCAGGTGCTTCCCGCGACCTTTACCAGATCGTCGGTCCATCTAGTGCAGTGGTTCTTAACCGGTGGGCCGCGGACCACTGGTGGTCCCTGGAGGCATTCCAAGTGGTCCGCGAAGACATCGTAATAAACAAGTGACGTGACGTGACGTGATGAGTCGAGTCAACACAACGCAAACGGCGCACAGTGGGCGAGAAATCGACCTCCCCTTTCATAGGATTTTGAAAAAAATATAAGTGGTCCCTGACAAGACAGAAAGGTAAAATCGTCCCTCGTGACTTAAAGGTTAAGAACCACTGATCTAGTGGAAGGTCTGATCACACTACAATCATAGGCGTACCCAGCTTCTGGCCTAGGAGGGGCAAATTAGATTTTTTAGGTCAGATACTTTGTCTTAGTTCCTTCAAAGCGACTAAAAGGGGGCCAGCTGCCTCCCTCCCCATGTAAGTAGCTTCCCTTCTGCCCCTCCCCCTGACTACAATGGTAAGACACTAATGCCCGATTTCACCGTCAATCCCTAGTTTTTAAGTGACCCTTACAGTAACACATAACAGGAATTTTGTTTTCATAGGTGTCACTTAAAAATTAGGAATTGATGGTGAAAACGGGCATCAGACCCGCAAGCCCCGGTTCAGACAGTAGAGTTAGAACTTGTAGTAAGGCGGGGCATAGACGAGGCGAAGATCGAAGACCTCGAACCATCGAGCATAGACCACCTGCTGCTGCTCTGTCATAGCTTTGGATCCGCTTGTGACATGCGCTTCAGGCCGGTGGAGGAAGTCGGTGAGTGACGTCATAACAATGCTTTTTACAGGTCTTAAGGCGATTAGTGTCCTCAATCCGCGCCAAATGGGCATTTTGTAAAGCCTACTCCTCTTTTACTGCTGGACAGAAATAGTTGAAAAAAATATATGTTATACAACAGTTCAAGGACTACATTTGTGACGTTTGAATTTTCGCTACGTCTCTTTGTTTTGGATTAAAAAAATAAATACGGGACATCGATTTTTTACTTAAATTCCCTACTCCTCCAAAACGGCTATGTTAATTTAAAAGATTTTTGCACGAATAGATTGGGAATTCTTTAATCTTTAAATGACACGTTGCGTTTTTCAATCGAACATTACTTTCATTCATAAATTTTACTTTTGATAAATTCCGAACGTTTTGCTGTTGAGGGGGCCTTCGCGGGGTGCGGGCGGCAGTCGGCCGCTGGCCTTCAGACGGGGAGGTTGTGTCACTCGCTGCAAACTGACATTAGCGATCAAAATGAATTTTTTCTTTGGCTAAGTTGCACCACCTGACGTGACCTAACTTTGACCACAGGAACAAACCTGAGACACAGGAATCTTCCTAGTTCAGGTATCAACCCACCAACATTCTTACTTTTTGTTTTTCCTGATTGTTTGTTATCATAATATTATCTGTTATGTTGGTGAGAAATAAACATTACTTTACTTTATTTTAAACTTCCAGACATCTAAACTTTCGCATTTATAATATTAGTAGGATACAATTATGTAATGTAGAAACAAACGAGACAAAAAAAATGTATATTTTTTAGTACTTCAGCATATTTAGTACACCCGGCAGCGTGTCCTGCCATGATCAAAGAAAAAATAACTCGCAATTTAGCAGGTACATTAATTTGACTGTTTCACAACTCTAAATCTATTTAACTTACATTACTACTATGTGTTCCAATAGCTACAGTTGTCGTCAGGAAGTTGGTCTAACAAATTCAGCTTGCAAGATTCCACCCGAAGTTACCTACATATTACATGTTCAAATTTCGAGAACGGCTGAACCGAAAAAAACATTAGAAAATTTACGAAAAATTTAAAAAAATATATCCCGTACAAAATGTTCATGGATTGTGTTATTTTTTATTAAATACCTTTACGCCTGAGTTAAATGACACCGACATCAAGGTTCATCAATTCAAGTTTAAAATAATAGGCAGTAATGTCATGAAAAAAGAGCTTCTATTCTGTATCTACTTATGCCCGTGTAATTTTGATCGGTGTCAAATCGGAGTTTTCGTGCGGGGTGCGCGGGTGTTTCGCGCGGCGTGAAGGTCAAACGCCCAAGGTCATTGAGGACTCTAATCGCCTTAATTAAGTCAGTGCCTGAGGTATGAGAGCGGCACGGGAGAGTGTTTTTGTGACGTTAAACGTCAGCGAGACTTCAAATGTGCTTCAGACTTGTATAGTTCCAATATACTGAACTCTCCTATCCATGACATTGACAGCGGGGCGCCACCGTCAATACCGGAACGCTGGTTCCGATTTTTGCCATGTTGGAAACCATATAGTTGAACGATGGTAGCGCCCCCCTGTCACTGAGTTTGGTGGGACAGTTCAGCGTGGGTCATCTATATGCTCTGTCACGTCATATTATGTCACGTGTCACCCCTCCCGTGCCGCTTCCATACCTTAGACACTGACTGGGTTTTTAAGATAATACAAGCACTGACTCAGTAACGCGCTAGACTACAGGTCTAGGTTCGTTTGTCCAGCAGTGGACGTCATTTGGCTGAAAACGAACGAACGAACTACGTATAGAAGGTTTACTTCGCAAAGGTATTTGAAAAAATGTATGCTCAATATCATTAACAATATGGTGTAATTTAGCTTGTCTCAAGAGTCAAGCACCATTTTGTTGACAAACGTCAGTGATCGGTACTGCGCCGAAGCTATAGGGCTGACTTCGGTCAAATGATGTGTGACGTGAGGTGCCAAACTGCAGAAAATGGCTGAGGAAGTGCCTATTCCAACTTCATAAGGTACAGTGTTTTTTTTTATCCACAACGAGGAAGCTCTTGGCCTGTATCTCACCTGATGGTAAGTGACGATCAGGCCGAAGGTGGAAGCGAGCTTCACCCGGAATCCTCAACCACGGAGGAACTGGCTATCTTACCTCTAACTGCCGGAACACAACAATGCTGTTAACAACGTTGTTATGGCGACAGACTTCTTTAGGTAAGATGGTGGTAGCTAGCCAGGCGGACTTAGACAAGCCCTACCACCAACCAAACCGAACAGAAAAATCTGCCCCCACTGGGAATCGAACCCGGGACCTCTGCGTCTGAAGCAGGTGGTCTTACCACTAGACCACAAAGGCGGTTTAAAACACAACAATGCTGTTTCTCTTCACGTGCCGTCCTGACTTTTGTACATTTTGTTTCAGTGGACGACTTCAGAGCGACTAGTCTACAGTTACTGCAGTCACACTACAGGAATTCATTTGACAAGGGCGTCGTGAACCGAGTCGAGGTAAGAAACAAGTAAATTATGTGTCAAGATGTTTGCAAAGAAACACAAAAATATTTTAATGGTGTGCTAAGTTTTTCAAGAGTTCTGTTGCGATACATTGAAACATGATGCTATTAAATAATCATTACTACTATTGTTCATCAACAAAACTGTCGTCCATTCTATGCAAAAATATTTATTAATCGGAAGATTGATTTGCAAAGAGTAAACATGTGTATACACATCTTGACAATGACACCCTACGCATAGTTTTTGTTTATCGTCGTCGTTTCAGCCAGTTGACGTCCACTGCTGGACAAAGGCCTCCCCCAAGGCTTTCTATAATGAACGATCCTGCGCTGACCGCATCCATGTTCTTCCCGCGACCTTAACCAGATCGTCGGTCCAACTAGCAGGAGGCCTGCCCACGCTACGTTTTCCAGCCCGTGGTCTTGTTTTTGTTCATATTTTTACAAACATCTTGACACATAGACATGTGTCAAGACATTCATATACAATAATTGTATACAGGGTGTTAGGTAAATGGGTACATGAGCCGACACTAGCCCATGTTAACATATGCATATAAATGGTCAGAAATTTGATATCATCATTTTAATTTTTTAAATGTTCATACAAAATAAAATTTATACAGGGTGTTAGGTAAATGGGTATGTGAGCCGACACTAGCCCATGTTAACATGGGCATATAAATGGTATGCTGAAGTCAGAAATTTGATATCATCATTTTAATTTTTTAAATGTTCATACAAAATAAAATTTATACAATCAGATTTGTATGAAAATTAAAATACATGGGCTAGTGTCGGCTCATATACCCATTTACCTAACACCCTGTATAAATCTCCAAAATTACAATTTCATACTTGTGCTTGTTAAATAGACAATCTAAGTATGTTTTTCATATAATAACAATAAAAAAATGTTTTTATATTCACCCTAATTCTTCTCCCACCTCCCCAGGTGCTCCCAATCTCGTGGCATTCCACCCTCCACTCAGGCGAAACGGGGGTGGACAAGCGACTGGCAGAGATCACCCTCGAGAGCATACCCCGCCTTAGAAGTTTTACCAACGACACGCTATTGGACGTACTGTTGTATACCAGCCCGGTGTTTTGTCAGGTAAGGCCGATTCCCACGGGGGACATTTCGTCTCTCTGTTTAAATGTGTTATTTTGCTGTGAATGAAGTTGTGTTTCTTTTTACTAGAAGTCCCGGGTTCGATTCCCAGTAGAGAGAGACAAAATTTTGCCGTTTTGTTAGAAATAGGGTTACGCAGTAGGTTGTTTTAAGAGCGCCTGGTCTTAACACCTTTTTTTAAGTCTTTCGCCAAAAGAACAAAATAACATTTTAATGTGTGAATCTGAAAAGCTTTTACTAAGTACGGACGATAGCACTTCAAACTAAACTGTGTGTTTTATGTAATTGTAATAGAAGGTACTTTGCAACTATGCGCTGTGGACCTTACAATCAGCGTCAAGTAGTTGACATGACACCCAAATTAGCCGAAAAGTTCACATCACGTCTTACCAGGCCTGTTCATCTCCGCGAGTTTACATCGAAAACAAAACACGCACGATGACCCACCTACAGGATACTATTCGACAAGGCCTCACATACGAGCGAACATTGACTCACACACGCGTATTCTTGTGTATGATGGAAGAAAATAAAGAAAATGGTGTACTAAATACTGGGCAGTATTAACTGCCTAAATAATAATTAAAACATGTACTTTTTTAAGTTGCCTCGAGACACTGAGAGGTGAATAAGTAGTTAATATTATTCATGATAATTCATGTAATTATTTCCTCCGCCATTTTCCGCAGTTTGGCACCTCACGTCACATCATTTTACCGAAGTCAGCCCTATAGCTTCGGCGCAGTGCCGATCACTGACGTTTGTCAACAAAATGGTGCTTGACTCTTGAGACAGGCTAAATTACACCATATTGTTAATGAGATTGAGCATACATTTTTTTAATACCTTCGCGAAGTAAAACTTCTGTACGTAGTACTTATTATTATTCTGTGGTCTTAGTTACAATCGGAATAAGGTTGTGTTGTCAACTTTTTGGCCACTTTGGGTGTCACGCACTTGACGTTTGTATCACATTTAGCGTAAAAAAGTTTTAAAATATTCATTCATTCAATTTAAAATGGCGGCTGATATTTTCTGACTGCGTTTTACCAAAGCTTGTAACAGTTTTGGTAAAAAGCTGATTCAATAAAATACTTTTAGATTTTTTCTCAAAATAAAATACATAAATTTCTTTCCTCCACAGACAATCATAGACACAGTCTGCGCGGAACTCAACCGCATATACAAGCTGTTCAAAGTGCGGAACCCACTGTTCAAGGGGTCCGTATCATTAGGGGGCCATTCACTGGGCAGCGTGATACTGTACGACTTGCTGTGCCATCAATTGGGGGTGAGTCAATACTAAATAAATAGCATAACGGGACTATTCCCACCTTTCGTTCCCACCGCTGCAACTCCTGTGTAGCCAGGATCTACAGCTTGACCGCCAATAACCCAACCAGTGAAGGTAAAGTTTGTCCCGGAGGAAAGTTACACTGGTCATTGGATCCGCAACGAAATTAATCAGAAGAACATAAGTAGCGTAAGTGACGGTGATAATTTTAGGCTTATTGGTTAGAACAGATGAATGTAAAATGTTATATTTTAGATTGCAAACATAATTTTTTTTCTCCTTCAAAGTCTATAATTGTTTCAAAGTGTATAATTATTTCTTAAGCCCTCATAACTTTATTCTCGCTCAACATCCTAGAGAATTGGGCATGGCTGAAAACCAGTGTTGCAAGGATCTCTCCTTACAACGTAGACTGAGCCAGGTCCAATTGCCTTCGGTGTACTTCATATAGTTGTAAGTCTAACTACCTGTACCTGTCTAATGGTTCGAAGGCAATAAATACATTTTTATTTTTTATTTTTTTTATTTCCACACACATTATCACTATCTTTACAGGTACTTAAAACCTAATGCGATAGATATTTATTTCAAAACAATCGATATGCCTTTCTAGATGAAGACCACTACCAACCGGTCAATATGGAAGACATTGGGGGAGGCTTATGGCTGAAATGATGATGAATTGAAAATTTATTATGCTTTGTTCTTTGTTTTCAGGCGACTGAAAAGGCTAGCTCGCCTGATAAGAGCTACGTAAGTGGCGGCGCCGGCACCGGCCAGCCTTCCGTGATCTACCCGAATTTGGAGTTCACTCCCGCCGCTCTATATGCCCTTGGGAGCCCTATCGGTGAGTATCTTGCTAGTAGAGATTACTTGAAGCCACTTGAGAGCTACCTGTGTTATCTCAAGCCAGCCCTACGTGAGCTATCCTACTTTGGAGTTCACTCCTGCCGCACTGTATGCCCTTGGGAGCCCTATCGGTGACCATTTTGCTAGTAGTCTTTACTTGATGTCACTTGAGGCTGCCTTGCGGCCTTGTAGTGTGCTGTAGTCATTACTCCATCTTCTTCTTGTGATCATAGGCTAGCCCTCTGTAAGCTACCCTGCTTTGGAGTTCACTCCAGCCGCTCTATATGCCCTTGGGAGCCCTATCGGTGAGTATCTTGATGATAGAGAATACTTTAGACCACTTGAGGCTACGTGAGCTACCCTCAGTGATCATAGGACAGTCATCTGTGAACTACCATGCTTTGGAGTTCACTCCTGCAGCACTGTATGCCCTTAGGAGCCCTATCGGTAAGAGATTCTGCCTTCTAGTGTCCTTTAATTTATGTGAGCTACTATGGACCAGTCCTAGACGTCACTCCTGCCGCTCTATATGCCCTTGGGAGCCCTATCGGTGAGCAGCTTACCTTCTAGTGTCTTAAAAGTTGTGGTAATCCGTGAGCTTTGGTGTTCAGTCCCGCCGCGCTGTATATATTATACCCTTGGGAGCCCTATAGGTAAGCATTTTGCTAAAGCCTGGCCCGTGAGCACGTAGAATTTTGTCCAATGACTCCAAGCTACCCATCCTTATCACTCGCGCGTAATTATATTGCTGTCGCGACTGTGCGACGCGCGCCCGCAGTGAGTGTGCGAGCGCGACAGCAACATAATTACGCGCGAGCGATGAGGATGGGTAGCTTGGGGTCATTGGACAAAATTCTACGTGCTCACAGACCAGGCTTTAGTAGTCTTTACTTTAAACCACTTGAGGCCACGTGAGCTACCCCGTGTTATCATAGACTAGCCCTCTGTGAGCTACCCTGCTTTGGAGTTCACTCCCGCCGCATTGTATGCCCTTTGCCCCTATCGGTGAGTATTTTGCTATAGTCTGGTCGCCAAGCACGTAGAATTTTGTCCAATTATGTTGCTATCGCGCTCGCACACTCACTGCGGGCGCCCGTCGCACAGTCGCGACAGCAATATAATTACGCGCGAGCGATAAGGATGGGTAGCTTGGGGTCATTGGACAAAATTCTACGTGCTCGCAGACCGGGCTTTAGTAGAGATTACTTGAGGCTACGTGAACTACCCTGTGTGATCACAGGCTAGTCCACCGTGAGCTACCATGCTTTGGAGTTCACTCCCGCAGTGTAATATGCCCTTGGGAGCCCTATCGGAGAGAGATTCTGCCTTCTCATGTGCTTTTGTCGTTAGAAAATTATAAATAACTTGGATAAATCGAACTGCCTAAGGCGGCAATTGAACCCACGAACTTTCGCTTGCCGGGCGACTGCTCTACCAACTGAGCTACTTAGACACTGGATGAACCCGTCGAAATTTTCAAGTGTAATACCAGGCCTGTTCATCTCCGCGAGTTTACATCGAAAACAAAACACGCACGATGGCCCACCTACAGGATACTATTGGACAAGGCCTCACATACGAGCGAAAATTGACACACGCACGCGTATTCTTGTGTATGATGGAAGAAAATAAAGAAAATGGTGTACTAAATACTGTGCAGTATTTAACTGCCTAAATAAGAATAAAAACACAGAATGTACTTTTTTAAGTTGCCTCAAGACACTGAGAGGTAAATAAGTAGTTAATATTATTCATGATAATTAATGCTAAATCATGTATTTCCTCCGCCATTTTCCGCAGTTTGGCACCTCACGTCACATCATTTTACCGAAGTCAACCCTATAGCTTCGGCGCAGTGCCGATCACTGACGTTTGTCAACAAAATGATGCTTGACTCTTGAGACAGGCTAAATTACACCATATTGTTAATGACATTGAGCATACATTTTTTTAAATACCTTCGCGAAGTAAAACTTCTGTACGTAGTACTTATTATTATTCTGTGGTAATACGCTGTTTCATCAATGTTGGGTATACCTACCCTTAGAAAGACTTACCTACCTTGGAAGAGCAGTCGCCCGGCAAGCGGAAGGTCGTGGGTTCAATTCCCGCCTTAGGCAGTTCAAATTTTTCAAGTTATTTATAATTTTGAAAATTTATTTCAAATGCAACTCTTAACGCTAAAAGTTAAATAAGTAATCTTTTGTCCGTTTGTTAGTCGTATACCTTGAAATCAAAAACTCCTTGTAGCTTTTCACCTATTCGCATTTCGCCGCGATATCAAAATGCCCTTAGGAGTTTAAATGCCATCTAATTTTAAGCTACAACCATAAAAGACAATGCCGGAAATTGGCGTCTTTTTTTTTTCGCGCGGCCATCGACCAAACTTTATTTTTTAATTACAAAATAGTGTAATAAACCAAACTTACTATGGCATGAATACCTCTAAACTCAGTCTGAACTAAGTTACGAGCATTAGAAGTTTGATGATTTTCATACTAGATTTGCTTTTTGCGCGCAAAGTTTTGTAAGAAATTGCAACAAAATAGTGAGATTGTATGTGTAAACAAACAATACCATCCATTAAAGGCTCCAGACATCAGTATGGAGCAGAATCAGCGCAATAAAAAAATAGCGCAATATTTTGTTGCAATTTCTTACAAAACTTGCACACAAAAAGCAAATCTAATATGAAAATCATCAAACTTCTAATGCTCGTAACTCAGTTCAGACTGAGTTTAGTGGTATACATGCCATAGTAAGTTTGGTTTATTACACTATTTTGTAATCAAAAAACAAAGTTTGGTCGATGGCCGCGCGAAAAAAAAAAGACGCCACTTTCCATACAAAATCTGGCATTGCCATTTTAATGTAAAATATTTTTAAACGTATAATAGTACAAAAATACAGAGTTTCTTGCGCTGCTTCTCAGCACTGACCCATTTATTGTCCCGAAGCAGTGGTAGGATTAAAGTAATATTAGGACGAGTAAAAGCGCTTTTTAAAAGCCTATTTGCGGACTATCCTCTCTGTTTCTATCTTATTTATCTATTTGTTTTGTTTCCAGCGATGTTCGAATGCATACGCGGCGTGAAGTCTCTTGGAGCGGACTTCACTCTGCCGACTTGCAAGAATTTCTTCAACATATTTCATCCTTACGACCCCATAGCGTATAGGTAAGATATTAAAAAGATGTAGTTTATCTGACAGATAACTTCCTGATAGGTACACTTAGACATTATTATTTTACATTAGGATGAAGTGAGACAGCTGGCTTTAACAACGTCAATTTATCTGACAGTTAAGTTCCTGATTTGGTATCAGTCTCTATCGGCAAAATCAATGTTCAAATATTATGCCCTTTATTAGCAGTAGGTATATCTGTCAAATAAGTCACTGATAGGCATGGACTTAATTGAAAGGTGGTAAAACAAGCCCAAAAGTTTGTTTATTTGACAGATAAGTATCTGATAGGCTATCAGGAACTTAATTAGCAAGTTATGAAACAAGGCTATGAGAGATACTATTGCAAGTGGTAAAACAGGCTTCCAAAGTTGTATTTGTCTGAGAGATAAGTCTCTGATAGGCTATCAGCGACTTTATCAGCAGGTTGTTAAATATTTTCGTATTGTCTTTTCAGAATCGAACCGCTAATCAACTCTGAGCTTGGCATAGTGAAACCGTATTTGATTCCGCATCACAAAGGAAGGAAACGCATGCATTTAGGTGAGTTTTATTCATCATCATCAACATCATCAGGTCATTTAGTCTCCACTGCAGGAGCAAGACCCTCTAATTCAGGGTTTCCCAATTTTTTTTTGCCAAGGAACCCTAATTGATTATACTTTTCCTAGCGGAACCCCCGTACTACTCCGCCCGCACGCCCTGCCCCTCCCTTGTGCCACAGAATAAGTAATAGTACAGGTACAGAAGGATTACTCCGCAAGACGATTTAAATAAATGCGAGTCTTGCTACGACGCGATACAGTGGAATTCAGCTCGTACAGCACTACGTACCTACAATTTTATTCACATACAAGTTTTGTCTCTTTCTATCGCGTGCCTCTGAACTCTTCTTACGCTGTTAGGGTTGCTGTCTAGTGAAAAAATAATTAATCTACTTATTTGTAATGACCTACGTATGTAGGTAAGTATGCATTCATTATGGTAAACCTTGGGAGAGGCCTTTGTCCAGCAGTGGACGTCATTTGGCTGAAACGAACGAACGCATTCTGAGCAGTAGTCATGGTAGGTTAGGTTGCCAACATACCTTTCAGCATCTTTGGGAAGCGAAAAAAAAAGATAAATCCGGTAGATTACTTTTCGAATTTAAACACCCGAACGCCGCACAATATTTCTTTCTCTTTATGTCCATNATAACGAAAAAACTACATGCTATATTTCCCAAACTGGCACACTGCCTAATTATATCTAACATTACTTTTCACCTAAAAAATATTTCACCAAGTTATCTCTAATAGCGACGAAGCAGGATTTTTTTTAACTTCAAATGCGATTTCCCAAAAATCACCATTTTCGACTTAACTCCGTTTTCACTGGGGGTACAGAATTGTCGTATAAACCATTTTGGCCAAATCGAGTTATATATACCATTTTAATCAGATTTTTTTTCTCTATCGATCTGTATATTCGAAATATTAAAATTCGCTAAAAAAATGTTTATACGCCCCAAAAAACTATAGCCTAAAAGATAAATAAATATCATAAAAACAATGTAAAAGCCGAATGGTTGTTTTTGGTATTTTTGCCAAGATGTATTAACCATAAATTTTTTAAACCAGGATGTAAAACTCTCTCGTAATTGAAAATGGTTTTTACGCTTAAAGACATGTGGCGTTTAATGTCCAGATTATTTGGATCCAACGTCGTAAGTCCATGTATTCAATATGGTAAATTCTTATAAACCATGATCATTCCTTCGTTAATCTCATGGATTGGCGTATAAACCACGTTCATTATTATTTGATTTCATTATTGACGTATAAACCACGTTCATAGCGCTTACGGGCGCTGCCCGCGATTGGCAGTTAGTGAAATTATTAGTCTGCGATTGGTTTAAATTCGAGCGTGTCCGGCCGTCCCATTGGTTCGCGCCGCCGCGCCGCGCGCCGCATGCGAATAAACGCACACATCAAACGTCGCGTCGTAAGATAGCCGGCAATCATTGTTTGTTTACATTGACTTGTGTTCATGCTTCAAACAGCCGCATTGTGCATCAATTACTGATTTTATTGTTATAAACTATCAATTAACACCGTTTCTGAGTAATTAATAGCTTTGTGTAGTGTAAAATGGAAGAAGACAGAAAAAAAGTTACTCTGGATGCTTTATTAAGGCGAAGGGAAGTGGTCAGTGCATTATATCAAACCGGATAGAAAACCGGGCCTAAGACGTCAAGTCAAACGCTCTGAGTAAATCATTAAAAAAGTGCAGTTTAAAGTGAAGTTGGCTTACTGAGTCAGTGCAATTCATAAACACTAACCCTTGTGCAATCTGTGAGTGATAAAAAATCATGACAAAGTGCACAGAATAACGATTTTAATCATCAAAATAATCACGGACCATAAGAAACTATTTTCGACATACCCGCGCATAATTATCGTCGGCCGCTCGGACTAAACGCGTAAGCGACGCGCTCTGCACGGCGCTTGAGCCCTTTTGGTCGCGACTTTTGGCACATTATAAGTTGAGAGCATTTATTAGTGGGCAACAGCAGCAATTTACGAAACCATCTTGAACCACTTGAACGTACGTTTCTATGAGCGCATTTAGTGCCGTGCAACCTGCTTGATTGTTTTTCTGCTTTTGTATTTTTTTTTATTGCGACGTGCAACTAATATGGAATCAACAGGCAAGTCAACTATGGACGAAGTAGTAACGGAATGGGGCTGTTGTCACCTACTTGACCTAAACGAGAAGTTTTTAAAATGTGATAGCTGCAAAAAAGCTTTCCATTATAAATGCCTGACCTTGGACCTGTCCTGTGAAATAGGTTCTTGGACATGCCCTGTATGCATCTTGAACATACCCAAGGCCACAAACAATGATCAAACCCCTGTACGTTTTAATCCGAACATAACTGTGCGCAACAGCAAGAGACCGGCACTGCAGTCTCCACCGACCCCCTCTCCGGCACCTATCACAGAAGATGGAGTACGCACTATTGTACAGGAGGTGGTGGATAAACAAACGCAATCTTTACTGGAACAGTTTTCATTGACCATGAAGATGATGCTGAGCAACGAAATGAAAGCAATGCGAGATGAGATAAAAGAAATTAGAGATTCTGTAGGTTTTATGAGCCTTCAGTATGAAGATATTCTAAGAGAAAACAAAGAGGACAAACAGAAAATTAAGGAATTGCAAGAAAAAAACAATATCATGTCAAGTTCAATAAAAGATATGTCAACTCGGCTTAATAATTTGGAACAACAGACAAGGGCCAGCAATATCGAAATTCAATGTGTTCCCCAGAAGAAAAACGAAAACCTGATCAAATTAGTGACACAACTGGGAAAGGTTATAAACAACGAGGTGAAGGAAGAAGATGTTTCTCATTGCACACGAGTGATGAAGTTAAACACCAACAACAATCGGCCAAAATCTATCATAGTGCAGTTCAGCACACCAAGACTCCGCGATTCGTTTTTGGCAGCCGCAATTAATTTCAACAGATCAAAATCTGCTAGCGAGAAACTCAATACACAACATCTAGGATTTGAGGGCGAAAAATCTCCAATATACGTTTCTGAACATTTAAGTCACGCTAATAAAGCACTGCACGCCGCAACACGTGTTAAGGCAAAGGAAAAGGGCTATAAACATGTGTGGGTCAGAGGAGGCCGCATTTATGTGAGGAAGACTGATTTTACCGATTACATTCTAATTAGAGACATGGAATCACTTAATAGAATAATTTAATAAGTATAAAATTACTTTAGATTTAAGCAAGTTATAATATATTGTTAAAAACATAGAATTCGCTAATTTCAGGATATTTTATCAAAATACTCGTGGTCTAAGATCAAAGACAGAAATATTTTATCGCAATGTAAGTTGTTCTAGATATGATGCAATTGTTTTGACCGAAACATGGTTAAATGAAGATGTTGCAAGCAGTGAACTTTTTGACAGTAGATATAACGTCTTTAGACGAGATAGACAAATTTCCAGACTTAATCATAGAAAAGTTGGAGGTGGCGTTCTGATCGCAGTTTCCAAACAGTTCACTGCTAACGCAATGTACGATTGGAATAGCGAATGTGAGGACCTGTGGGTCACCGTCGATATTGGATCGGGTTTTAACATTGCACTTTGTGCAACTTATTTGCCACCACCTGTGCAAAAACCAATTCTCAAACACTTTATGGATAATTTTAATTCCGTAACAGATAAACTAAATAATTACCACCCTGTCATAATAGGAGACTTTAACATGAGCAGTATAGACTGGATTCAGTTGGGTGACACCGCGGGTCCTGGCATCAGCATTGCTTGTTCTAAACTATGTCAAGACTTTGTAGACTTCACGCATTTAAATAATTTGAAGCAATGTAACACTGTCTGTAACGCAAGCGATAGGATTTTGGATTTGGTATTTATTGATCAACCTTGTTGTCATGTAACTAAAGCTACAGATAGCCTTTGTAAAGTGGACCCTCACCATCCTCCCCTCGACATTGTCCTTAATTACCACTCCGATCAAACTCTGAAACCTAATAATACAACTAGACTTAATTATAACAAAGCTGATTACGATAAAATTAAAATTGAATTGGGAAAAATCGATTGGCACTATTTATTCAAAGACATTACAGACCCTAACCAAATGTTAGACTNTTATAATCAGACTACAACGCACGCCAGCGTCCTGACGGGCGCGCGCGTGACACTCGACTGATATAATACCCGCCGGCGGGGCGCTTCGCTGTAGGTAATTATCGGCTTTACCGCGCGGAGTGAGCCAGGCCTGCTTGTGCGTAAACAAGTCGGTGCGAGCGAACAACGTCAGTCACGAAACGTGGGATAATATTTTTTACGGAACCCTTGCGGCCTTTCCACGGAACCCCAGGGTTCCGCGGACCACCATTCGGGAACTGCTGCTCTAATTTACCAGAGGCAAATGGAGGATTTGTCCTACACTCCCCACGCTGGCCAGACGGGTTGGGGAGAATTGGCTGAAACTATGTAAAGATAACAGGCTTCATCTAGTGACTAGAAGACAGAGATTATGATGCCTAAAGTCCGGTCGCCGAGCACATAGAATTTCGTCCAATGACCCCGCTACCCATCCTTATCGCTCGCCTCTCGTAATTATAATGCTGTCGCGCTCGCACACTCACTGCGGCCGCCCGTCGCACAGTCGCGACAGCAATAAAATACGCGCGAGCGATAAGGATGGATAGCTTAGGGTCATTGGACGGAATTCCATCTGCTCGGCAACCGGACTTTAGCAGGGCTTATGTTACGGGTCTATGAACTTTTGTACTGACATGTAGGAATCAAGAACATTTGATTTGACAGTTGTGAATATAACGTATCGTTGCAGAACTAAAGGATACCATGGCGCGAGTGGGCGCCGATCTCAAGCAGAAGCTGTTGGAATCCATTAAAGCTACCTGGACCAGCATGTGGAAAGCACAGCCGCCCAGCGATGGACAACTGGAGAAGGTAAGTTCATTCTATATTCTACAGCAGTGGTTCCCAAAGTTGTCTGGGCTACGACTCATCTAACACAAGTTCCCAAACTCAGGACCCCCACCTATAGGAAATTTAACCATTACCAATATGCCTAAAAAAGGACTCGCATCTGTAGTGTGGTGTGTCGTTCTACAGGCAGGGCCCACTAAATGTTCGCTCGCGACCCACCATTGGGTAGCGACCCTTAGTTTGGGAAGCCCTGCTCTACAGGACTTTTTACGCCTTGAAGCATTTGCCACATTGGATGTGTTCTGCGGGCAGCGGTCTCGTCAAAGTGAAAGTTTGAACGAACAACATTGTCTTTTATTCAGTACTTAGGCTGGTTTTAGTGTCACGCGGACTGTCAGTGCGGATCGCTCCGCACAGCCGATCTGTATGAACTGCTAGGGAGCGGAGCGGTTCCTCCGGACCGCATTACCACAAAATATAACAGAAGGTAAACTCATGTATGTACCTCGCTTTGCATACCTCGCTCGCTCGCACGCTCGGCCGTCGCGCTAGGGTTGTCTTGTGTAACTCTTAATACTATGGAAGAAAGACAATAACAGATATCCACGTATAATTATGTAGTTATGTTTAGTACGTTATTATAGTAATAGTTTGCAAAAAAATACACAAGAAGGAAGTAGTATGTAGTTGAGTGGTTAACACTATATCCAATAATTCCTAAAACCTCTTTAAAACAATTCGATATTCCTAATAATTGAGTTGGCTTTCAATTTGTCAACGTTAAACGAACTATTGAAATACAAATAATACCTTACTTACCTCCCGGAATCAACTGGTAGTTTAAAAAACGAAAATTTAGTTTTTAATGTTGAGTGTAAGCAACCGTCTACTTAACAAATGTTATAATACCCCATTTTGTGGTTTACTCATTTTCGCACAAACAAAATAATTTTACAAACGCATTCGTCCAAGACAGTCTTGATAACGCGTACGTGAGCGGTGTCTATGTGTGCGTGGCTCGAGCGCGCTTAGTATGGAGTTTACCTTCTGTTATATTTTGTGGCATTACACTAAAACGCTCCCTAGTAGTTCATACAGATTGGCCGTGCGGAGCGGGTCCGCACCGGACGGTCCGCGTGACACTAAAACCAGCCTTAGGCCATTTCCAGGGCGCTTATACGCGTTCCAAATACAGCTAGCCATGCCACCACTTTGGGACAACATATGGGCTGGTGCTGAGAAGAAGTGGCTGAAGAAACTCAGTCACCTTTGTCAGCCTCTTTTTCAATCAGATACAGCAAATTGCAACTTACATCATGGTCACTTTGATCTGACCGCAGACCAGTGTGTCAAATCCTTCAACCTTCAATGGTTGGGTTTCAGTGGCGGCCAAGCTGTAGATCCTGGTTATACAGGAGTTGCAACGGTGGGAAAGTGTGGTGTGACAAGTCCCGTTTTACAGGCATAGCATTTGTAGACTTCTGTACTTCAAAAGTGCCTCTGTGCCAAAACCGCCTCTGTGGTCCTGCTTCAGAGGCAGAGGTCCCGGGTTCGATTCCCAATGGGGGCAGATTTTTCTGTTCGGTTTGGTTGGTGGTACGCTTGGCTAGCTACCACCATCTTACCTAAGTCTGTCGTCATAACAACAATGTTAACAGCATTGTTGTGTTCCGGCAGTTAGCGGTAAGATAGCCAGTTCCTCCGTGGTTGAGGATTCCGGGTGAAGCTCGCTTCCACCTTCGGCCTGATCGTCACTTACCATCAGGTGAGATACAGGCCAAGAGCTTCCTCGTTGTGGATAAAAAAAAAGGAAAAAACTGAACTTTATGGGTTCACTGTATTGTCCGTCAGTCTGAGACCCTTAATATTTTTTTTAATGTTTGTTTTTCAGGTTGTTGAAGAAGAAATAGAAAAGGAGCAGTTATGCGAAGAAGTGAAAGATGATGCAGCTCAGAATGACGTGGTGAGTTAAGTTTTTTGATGACTTAAAAATCAAAATTCTCAAGCACTGTACAAAAACTAATAAAAACTTGGTTGTTTATCGTCCGTATTCATTAACGATGCTTGCTTGATTGAAGCAGCAAATGGAACGCACAGCGTCGAATAGAGATCTGTGATTGGTACGTGTGTCACCCTGTGCGTCCACGCGCACTGTGAGACCATAGTAATGTTTGTAAAAATGTAATTAGTCTACACAAATAAAGATAATTTTGATTTTGAATACGGGCGTTACTTCCTTACAAAAGTATTATTATACCTAGTTTTATCTAATTTTAGTAACTTCACCCCTGTTTTTTGGATAATTTAGTTATTAATTTTGTATATCAGGTGGCGACCCCAGAAATGCTGGGGCGCCTTAACGCGGGGCGCCGAGTGGACTACGTACTTCAGGAGGCGCCGTTTGAGATGATCAACGAATATCTGTTCGCGATGAGCAGCCACGTCTGTTACTGGTGAGTATGCTATAGTCCAGTGGTTCCCAAACTAATTTAATCTACTGCCCACTTTGAGAATAAATTATTTTTTAGCGCCCCCCATTTTTGTAGTCAAGGGTCGAGCTCAGTCGATGTCTAAGAGTCCTCCTAGTAGATGACGCCTCCCAAGCCTCTACACAACGTCCCAATTTTTTTTCTGGGTCTCTTACCCTTTAAGCCTGCAGCGCCCACAAGGGGGCGTTATCGCCCACTTTGGGAAAGACTGCTATAGTCAGTTGGCGCCACGCAGCCAGTTGGCGCCGTATCGAGACAGTTGGCGCCGCGAAACGTCACTTGGCGCCGTATCAAAGCTGTTGGCGCTACTTCGAGTTACTTGGCGCGACACCGACTCAGTTGGCGTCATGCTTATTCAGCTGGCGTCTCGCCGAGTTAATTGGTGCCATGTCAAGTCAGTTGGCACGCTACGAATCAGTTGGCGCCACATTGTAGCGGTTGGCGCCATGCTGAATCAGTTGACGACTTCGGAGCAATTGGCGCCGCTTCGAGTCAGTTAGCGCCACACGGAGTCAGTTTGCGCCTCAACCTGGAGCATTTGGCGCCTCGTGACTTGAAAAATAAGAAGTATTTTGGCTTGAAAGTTTCTTCAGTGTCATGGTTTTGTTGCAAGTGATTTTAAGCAACGAGTAGCCTACTTGACACTTACTCAGAGATGGTGTACGAGGCCCTTATGCCCGTTTTCACCATCAATCCCTAATGTTTAAGTAACCCCTGTGGTAACACTTAACAGACTGTTCAGACGCGTGCCTGTGCGGTTTCTAATAGCAAAACAACGATCTCGTGAAAGTGTTTGTGTCGACACATAGGCGCGTCCATAGATTTTATTCTTGTATAATGTAGGTACTTCACTTGCCATCCAACTCTCACACTGCAAAAGTATCTCTGAATAGATTTACTCTAATTTCATCAAAAACCTAGTTGTATTGCTGCTACCATACTGTGCCTAAACACAATACACAGACATTTTGTCTTTTGGTCACAGTCATTTTTGGGTCACTTAAAAAATGATTGATGGTGAAAACGGGCTTAAAACTATTATGTGCGATCACTGAATAAATATTTTCCTTCCACAGGGAGTCCGAAGACACGATGCTACTCATCCTCCGCGAGATATATGACTGCATGGGGGTCCAGCCCGACTGTACTGTTCCCCAGCAGAGCATGACTGTACAGCGGACACGGGTGGCGCAGGTTCGTAGCTCTAACAAACCTTCGTTAGTTTCAGCCCTATGACGTCCACTGCTGGACAAAGGCCTCCCCCAAGAATTTCCACAACAACCGGTCCTGCGCCGCCCGCATCCAGGCCATAGAAGTCATAAGTCGGCTATAGCTCGCGCAACGAAAGTTGAGGCGAACACGTACTCACACTGATGTAATATTTGAATACAAAACACAAACAACACGGTCAATTCAAATATCGGATACACTAGCTACCTCGCTCTTGTTAAATGCCTGCAAGCGAGACAGAAAGCACTTCAAGATGTCAGCGCAGACAGTGTATACAGATAGAAAGTTTTGCTTGCGTTGATGGCCTCAACTCTCATTGGGCGACCTATACTTATTTATTTACACGCATCTGGTTAGAGCGGTCTTGCACTAGGTAGATCCCATCCGAATCCATTAAAATACTAGTACTTAGGGGCTAGTACTTACCCGAAAACTATGAAAAATGGTATATATTCAACTAGCGACGGTGACGACATTTGTAACATGTTTGCGTCGTATTTTAAATCCGTGTATTCTCCATCTTCGAAACCACATGGAGAGGTCAACTCCTCTGCATACCTAAACAAGCTAGCTAATAGTTCGGATTCTTTATCTACCTTCAATATAGACATTGAGGATATTATCACATCTCTTAAAAAATTGGATATATCCAAGGGTTCAGGATCAGATAATTTACCTCCCATTTTTATGATTAGAAGTGCTAAAGAACTAGCGGTTCCCTTATTTTTAATATTTAATCAATCACTTAATTCTGGAATTTTTCCAGACAAATGGAAAATTGCCAAGGTTGTTCCGATACATAAGGCGGAATCTAAAGACATTGTGACCAACTACAGGCCTATATCAATACTCCCTACACTAGGTAAAGTTTTCGAAGCCTTAACAACACCAAAGATACAAAATTATTTCAAGAAATATTTGTCTGATAGTCAACATGGCTTTACTTCTGCTAGATCCACATGTAGCAATTTAGTGACATTTATCGAAAATACTATAGAGTCGGTGGATTCCAACAAACAGGTAGATACGATTTATACCGATTTTAGTAAGGCATTTGACAAGGTTTCACATTACGTATTAAAGCAGAAACTGTCCGCCTACGGTTTCACAGGTTCTTTTCTTAAATGGTTGGATTCTTACTTGTCTAACAGGCATTTTTACGTGGTAGTCAATGGTTATAAGTCTAACATCTTTCAAATAACCTCAGGTGTGCCTCAAGGGTCACATCTGGGACCGGTTCTATTTAACATCTTCATCAATGACCTGCCCGAATGCTTTAGTCATTCTACGCCATACTTATTTGCAGATGACCTTAAATTAACACGGACGGTGGAAAGACTGGAAGATGCCTTACTGCTCCAAAGCGACATTGACAAACTGCTATGTTGGTGCGCAAACAACGGCATGGAACTTAACATTAAAAAATGCTCACAAATTACTTTTACCCGGAAGATTAAACCATTTGTTCATAGTTACTCCATGAACGGTTCACCCCTCAATGTAGTTGATATTGTAAGGGACCTAGGAGTCCTGATTGACAGAAAGCTAACATTTGTCCCACACATCGATGCAGTCATCAAGAAAGCGTCAAAATGTTTAGGCTTTATAATGCGAAATTCCAAATCATTTAGGAAAGCAGAAACTAAGATTACTCTATTTAATTCACTGGTACGTAGTTTGATTGAATACTGCTGTGTCGTGTGGCGCCCTCATTATGCTGTACACAGCCTCAGAATAGAGCGAATACAAAAACGCTTTCTTTACCATTTAGCTTACTCTGCAGGCATTGCCAAAAGGGTTGATGGATATGCTTCACGACTCGATTACTTTAAAATAAAAACTTTAGAGAGCAGAAGAACCATTCATGACATATTATTTTTGTCTAAAGTCCTAAATGGTAATATTAACTGTCCAGATCTTCTATCCAAATTTAAATTCAGAGTTCCCACAAGGTATCCCAGAAATCCCATCAATTTTCTATATCCTCCTTTCCGTAAGACGGTACTGGGCTTTAACTCACCAGTCCCGAGGCTCTGTAAGCTTAATAACAATATTAATGGGGATATAGATATTTTTTGCACCTCTTTGAACAGGCTTAAATACCAACTTCATCATCTAAATTAATGTTGATGAGCCTCACTTTTTTAATATTATATATATATTTGTCTAAAGTCCTAAATGGTAATATTAACTGTCCAGATCTTCTATCCAAATTTAAATTCAGAGTTCCCACAAGGTATCCCAGAAATCCCATCAATTTTCTATATCCTCCTTTCCGTAAGACGGTACTGGGCTTTAACTCACCAGTCCCGAGGCTCTGTAAGCTTAATAACAATATTAATGGGGATATAGATATTTTTTGCACCTCTTTGAACAGGCTTAAATACCAACTTCATCATCTAAATTAATGTTGATGAGCCTCACTTTTTTAATATTATATGTATATTTATTATATACACCTTTAAAGGTGTACCGTGTCAATCTTTCATGCATGCAGTGTTTACCGTACTATTATTGTGCACTTAGTTCTAAGTTATTGTTATCTAATTTTTTGTAAGCATTGGTGTAACAATTATTGGTAAACCAAATAAATTAAAAAAAAAAAAAAAATATATCAAAGAAGACGGTTAAAATCTGTGACCAGGTAAGTTGGTAGAATCAGCTAGTTTGTACTATCAGTTAAATACGTGTTTCAGTTTTAAATTTCACGGTGAATCTGTTACAGTTACATAATTTTATGTTAAATTATTTGAAATTGTTACTTCGATAGTGAGTGTAGTAGAAGTTAATTAAATGAAAGAGTGGACTGTATACAATTAGTTGTCTATTCGGTATAAATAATTAACAATATTATCGAGACCGTTTTGTGCAAAGTCGTTGAAGAGAGTGCGTCAGGATCGTCTTCTTAGATGTTCGCTCGCGAACCGAACATTGCTCGTTCGTTCGCCGAACGCTCGCCGCTCCCTCCGGTCACGCCGCCCGCGGGCAATGTCCGTGAGTAGACAGAAATCGTAAATTTTGTATTCGTTATAGCTTATACGACAGTCACCTACTGTTAATTTGCGATACCATTTACACTGGTAAATTATACCCTTAAATAAACTCTTGTGCCTAAAGGAGCAAAGAAAATATTCTTTACGCCTTCAATAGTTATTCAATAGATTTCGAAACTGCTTCACAATTTTATTATCGACTAGTGGTGTAAGGGCGTATAAACCAATGTCTACAAAAGTGTGTTGGAAGTGGTTTATACGCTCCTAATATAAAACATTATTACATGATTTAGAATTAACGTCCCAAATGTTGGTAAAATACTTATACTCCCAAATGGTTTATACTCCCTCACGAAGATACTTTATATATCTGTTAATCTTGCATTTACGACATTGGCGTTGATCTTAAATTAATTATTTTTTGACAGGGATTAGTTTATATGGCCATAGTGCTTAAAACTGTTTAATTTACGGCCTGAAATAACGCACAAATTTTAAAATTATGGTTTATGATTCTAAGAATGTTTTAAATTTTAGGTCATGAAACCTCGAATATTGAATTTACTTGTAGTACGTAGCACTAGTTCTTTGTAGCTGAAAAGTAAAACTAAGTGAATAAAATGTGATTTTAGTGTTTTTGTTCGCAGTGCAGCTCAACGAGCAGAATCTAAAGCTGTTTCACCACACAGCACGTCACGGTAGAGTTTTTCATCGAATACTAGTGACGTTATCGAAGACAGTGACTTCGAATCATCTGCAAAACCTGAGAAGAAAAAACGGAAAATGTTAGATTCTAGTTCCAGTAACAGTGAAGATACAATTAATACTTCAATGATTTCACTTCCATTGACTCATCCTTATTTTGGCGGTCCTGCTACACCGATAAAGAAACCGATGAAAAACAAGATTAACATTTTATCAAACCAAATTATTGAAAATATGTATGAAAAACAACAAAACGAAAAGTTACTGTTATCTTCATCGCCTATTCCAGTTAATATAAACTATCTGGACATAAATGTCACGCCTTCCACGAGCAACGCAAACTCTTTTTTAACTGGTGTATGTGTTACAGGAAATGTATGAAATCCGTCATTGTATACAATTCCTAGGAATTGTGTATAAGTCCTAAAATCACCCGGAAATGTGTGATGTAAATCATATTAGACACATTTCCTACGAAAATTACACATTTCCTAAACAGCAGTCGGAAATGTAATTAAGATATTTTTTTACACAAAATTATTTTTATTGCGCCCATTTTTGCTCTCCGAAACTTAAATGGCGCTACCGCGCCGCGGCAGCTGTGTATGTGTAAGGTCGCAAGTCTAACCTAACCTAACCTAGACTTTGTTATCCAGCTACAGGATTACTAAAACCTTCATGCCAATAATAGTTTAATAAAAGAGATGTTAAAATTAGGGATTTCCAATATTTCAGCGTAATATGCGTGATGCCGAAAGAAAGGTATGCCAATAAATTTAAGCAAATATTTTTTTCGGCCAAAGTATAATAGTGCGAAAACAACTGTCAGGCTAAACAATAATTTGTGANAAGCCCGGACACACTGTATATTTATTATATACACCTTTAAAAGTGTACCGTGTCAATCTTTCATGCATGCAGTGTTTACCGTACTATTATTGTGCACTTAGTTCTAAGTTATTGTTACCTAATTTTTTGTAAGCATTGGTGTAACAATTATTGGTAAACCAAATAAATAAAAAAAAAAAAAAATAAATAAAAAAAATACGTTCCGGAGTAGCTGTGGGTGAGACTTCCTTTATCCGATTTCTCTAGTTACTTTTCTAAATCCGTATTTTGACGGATTCAGATCGGAAACAATTAGGCTGAGTTGCACCATCTTACTTTACGTTTAACAAACTTCAAAACTGTCAAACTCCATACAAAAAACACCGGTAATTGTCATAGTTACGGTTAAAGTGCAACTCAGCCGTACTGAGTCCGAAGACACGATGCTACTGATCCTCCGCGAGATATATGACTGCATGGGGGTCCAGCCCGACTGTACTGTTCCCCAGCAGAGCATGACTGTGCAGCGGACACGGATGACGCAGGTTCGTAGCTGTAACAGGCCATAGAAGCCATAAAAAAGCCATGAAAGTCAATTATAGTTCGCGCAACGAAAGTTGAGGCAACGCAACAAAAGTACGAACACTGATGAATACAGAATACAAACGCTTGTATTCACAAACAGTACTATGAGGTCTCACAGTGCGCGTAGACGCACAGGGTGACACAGGTTCGTAGCTATAGCAGGCCATAGAAGCCATGAAAAAGCCATGAAAATCCATAAAAGTCAATTATAGGTCGCGCAACGAAAGTTGAGGCAAGTGCGGTGCGGTGCGGTTCAGTGGAATTTTGTCCAATGACCCCAAGCTACCCATCCTTATCGCTCGCGCGTAATTATATTGCTGTCGCGGCTGTGCGACGGGCGCCCGCAGTGAGTGTGCGAAGATGTCACTGCTGACAGCGTATAGAGAATCAGAATCATTTATTTGCTTTAAATGTGGTACACAAGATGGATACAGATAATGGTTAGGTTAGGTTAGAATCTTTCTTGTGTTGATGGCCTCAACTCTAGCTGCGCTACCTATACCTCTGGATCACACGGTTAGTGGTTTCACACTAATGTACGATACGAACCCATGATAATACAGTCTGAAGTAGTCGTAGGACTATTTATATGGTAGCTCTAGATCAAATTTTTGTCATCCGATTTCTCTAGTCACTTTTCTAGATCCGTATTTTGACGGATTCGAATTGGACATAGTGCGAAAAAACTCTTAGGCTGAGTTGCACCATCATTTACCTTTAACAAACTTCAAAAATCTATCAAACTCCATAAAAAAACCGGTTATTATCATAGTTACGCTTAAAGTGCAACTCAGCCGGACTGAGTCGGAAGACACGATGCTGCTGATCCTCCGCGAGATATATGACTGCATGGGGGTCCAGCCCGACTGTACTGTTCCCCAGCAGAGCATGACTGTACAGAGGACACGGATGACGCAGGTTCGTAGCTCTAACACAGTGGTTCTTAACCGGTGGTCCGCGGACCACTGGTGGTCCCTGGAGGCATTCCAAGTGGTCCGCGAAGACATCGTAATAAACAAGTGACGTGACGTGATGAGTCGAGTCAACACAACGCAAACGGCCCACAGTGGGCGAGAAATCGACCTCCCCTTTCATAGGATTTTGAAAAAAAAAAAGTGGTCCCTGATAAGACAGAAATTTGGTAAAATGGTCCCTCGTGACTTAAAAGTTAAGAACCACTGCTCTAACAGGTCATAAAAGCCATAAAAAGCTATGAAAGTCAATTATAGATCGCGCAACGAAAGTTGAGGCAAGTGCGGTGCGATGCGGTCCGGTGGAATTTCGTTCAATGACCCCAAGCTACCCATCCTTATCGCTCGCGCGTAATTATGTTGCTGTCGCGACTGTGCGACGGGCGGCCGCAGTGAGTGTGCGAGCGCAACAGCAACATAGTTACGAGCGATAAGGATGGGTAGCTTGGGGTCATTGGACGAAATTCTACGTGCTCGACCGGACTTTAGCTCTACCAGCAGGCTATACTAGGGTCAAGTCGCCTGTTTTCGTCCACTTAAAGACTTCAGAACATCGGACTGTACATTTTTGTAGCAAACTCACCCCTATTATAATTGCGTAAGGTGCCACAGTGTTTACCTGGGGATTACTAATGTTTGGCCAAAAAACGTTTCCCAAATTATCACATCGCAAACAACGTTTCGCAAATTTTCATTTGGCAAATTCTCATTTGGCAAAACAACTTATAGCAAACTTTTAATTCGCAAATGCCGTTTTTGGCATATTATTGTTTAGCAAATTATTGTTTGGCAAAGTATGTTTTAGCAAACGTTTCATTTGGCAAAAATATTTCACGATACACTATTTACAAAATAATTTGATTGGTGCGTAGAATGGAATACAAATTAACTTGTGGTTATTATTTTGTTTAGTGGGTAGTTAATATAAAATTTGTTTTAAATTAATTTTCATATTTCATTCTTTTTATCGAAATTTCCAAATGATTCATTAACAATAGAGGTGATTCTAGAGCTCGGCGGCCGCTGCCGCGGCACGCTTCGCTCGCCTTCGCGCGTTAAGGGTCACTGTTCTAACCTAACCTAACCTACTATTTTCTGCAATACCTACTTTCTGCAACCATACTATTTTCTGCAATCTCTTTGTTTTACATAAAATTCTTGTGAAAACCATGATCATCTGCCTTATGGTTTGATTTGTGGGTAACGGTGGGTAAGTATGTGAAGTGTCAATTTGACCAAACAAATTATTTGGGATATAATATTTGGCAAAATAAAACATTTGCTATATAAACATTTGCCAAGTAAAATTTGGCCAAATGATAATTTGACCAAATGAATTAGTTGCGAAAAGTACAGTTGCTAAAAGTTCATTTGGGAAATGAAACTTTGGCGATAAGTTGTTTGCGAAGTGAAATTTGGCGAAAAGTAATTTGGCCAAACGGAAGGATACCGTTTACCTGGATTTCCTGTCATCTGTATCCACTTATACGTAAACTATGTCGATTAGTTTGGTTCTCCTATGAATTTCCTTACTTCCGATCCGATCACGTAGGGAAACCTTTGATCCCAAATTTTTAAGTGACCCCTATGGTAACACGTAACGGGAATTGTGTTTTCATAGGGGTCACTTAAAAATTAGTAATTGATGGTGAAAACGGGCATTAGCCTTCTTATTTAAGGGAAAAATCATGTTTGAAATGTTCAATTCAATAAATATTATCAATTTAATATTTATTTATTTATTTAAACACCAACAAGGTTACATTTAGGCTTCACAAAAGTAACTATAAAAAAAGACAATATGTTTGTTTATTGTTACAGGACGAGACCATCATTTCGGGAACGGCAGGTAAATTCTAATTCCATATTAGTACGTGCTTCTTACGTAGTTATAATCATCAAATTCTGAAAATCACATTCAGAAAAGTGAATTATTTTATATCATTTTCTGTATGTACCTGTACACTATTTCGGTTCGGTACAAAAATCAACCATTAAGGGGATGAAAGGGGGGTTTTCATCCCCTTAAGCCCAGAACAGACGGTGAAACGCAACTGCAACGAAACTGCAACTTTCTGATGATTCTTATGAATGAAACTGAAAGTTTCAAACTGGTCGCGTCATGTGTGGTCTCTCAACGGACACTATGGCAGAAACTAAGATGCAACTCAAAAGTAACTAGCAGTTGCAGTTTCGTTGCAGTTGCGTTTCACCGTCTGTTCTGGGCCTAAGGTGTTGAATTTTGGGAAATTCTTCGTTCAATCCGTTCAATAATTTGAGCTGTGTGTCAGTCTGTAACGGATTATATTAGAGATTTTTTTAAAGTTATTTATTTATATTGTTTTTATTACAGGATACCCTTCAACAAGCCGCGGGGGTACATGAATGATTTAAAAATTATAGCATAATTACAATTATTACATAAATAATACGTAAAGTCAGTAATATTATGAACGAAAGAAACATGGAAACAACCCAGAAGCAAACTAAATTATTTCAAACTTTCCCGCGGCCACTTTCAAAAACCGGGACAAAAATTTTATGTTTTTCTCCTTGAAAAATTATAATACCTAAACCTTCCTCATGAATCATTCTATCTATTGATGAAAATTGCATGAAAATCCGTTCAGTATTTTTTGAGTTTATCTTGAACAGACAGGCGCAGCGGAAGACTTTGGATGTTTTACAATGTTTTATATTCAAATTCAAATTATTTTCAAATTATTTATTTGCAGAATGTGGTACATTAGATGTTACATAATTAAATGGAGCAGGACACATTCGCCAGATATGAACCAGCATGCAAATGTTTTACATAAGTCAATTTATTATTAATCAAAATTTAAATATCATCTACCTAATTTCTAAATGTTTTACACAAGTCAATTTATTATTAATTAAAATTTAAATAACATATACCTAATTTGCTTAGTCAGAATAATTCCTCCAGTCATAATATTCCTTAAGTGAATAAAAACAATTTGTATGTAACCAATTTGTCAACCCTATTTTGAATTCCCTACCATGTAGCAGCTTAATATAGTCAGGAAGATTATTAAACAGTTTAATGCACATGTTATATGCATTTCTTTTGTAAATATCGTAACGACATGGTGGTTGGTACAGGAGATTTACGTACTGCGCTCTTTGCGGCCGGACAGAGACCTCTGTTACTTTTTGAAAATATTCTGGGTGTGATTTTACCATTAAACACGCCTTCAGTATATACATACAAGTCAGCGGAAGAATTTTGAGTGTTCTAAACAATGGTCTGCAGCTGTCCGTAGGCAGTGCATAGGTCATAGCCCGTATGCATTTTTTTTGGAGCTTTAACACCCTTTCAATATCTACGGAATTGCCCCACAGGACCAGGCCATAGTTCAAGACTGAGGAAACATAGCCATAGTAGGCTGTTACTGCTGCTTCGAGTGACACAGTATTCCTGAGTCGTCTCAATGCATACACGAAACGATTTAGTCTCTTACATATAGAATCGACTTGGCCCTTCCAATTCAAGTATTTGTCTATATGTAGCCCCAAGAATTTTACACTATTTGTTTCCGTTATATTGTCGTCCAAGTAATTTATGTCTATATTTCTGTGTCGTGTTCTGTATGAATGAAATTGGATAAAATTTGTTTTTAATAAATTAACATTCAGATTATTTTTCTTTAACCATGCTATAACATCCACCAAGGCCCTGTTTGCATTTATCCCATATTCGCCAATATCCTCACCTCTGACTATAATTGTTGTATCATCAGCAAACAAGATACATCTTTGTGCTGTAGCCAGAGGTAAGTCATTTACGTAGATCAAAAATAGCAAGGGTCCTAGATTGCTCCCTTGTGGTACACCGTACTCGTTTTTTCTAAATTTAGATCTAAAGATTTGTTTATTGTAGCTTTTTCCAGATTTTAAAATTTTTGTTATTTCGGTGCATTGTTGTCTGTTTTGTAAATAACTTTTAAACCATTCAAGTGTAGTCCCTCTTATACCGACCGATTCCAGCTTTGTCAGTAGATTAAGGTGATCCACAAAATCGAAGGCTTTGCTCATGTCCAAGAAAATAGACATAACGGGAATTTTTTCATTAATAGATTCCGTTAAACTCCTAATTAAATTAAAGCAAGCAAGTTCGGTATTGTATCCCTTACGGAAACCAAATTGTTCGGGCCGTAATATTTTATGTTTAGACAGAAATTCGTTTACTCTAAGACACATAGCTTTCTCAAAAATTTTAGAAATAATGGGGACAATTGTTATCGGTCTGTAGTTGTTTGGATCTGTGCGGTCACCCTTTTTAAAGATTGGTTTGACGATAGACAATTTAAGCTGTTCAGGAAATTTACCCTGAACAAAGGATAAATTGATTAATTATTTTCTGCTACCTTTACCTGCTACCTTTCACTACCCATAACTTCCGAGAATGTTAGAGATTTCAAGTACATTCGGAACCTGTCGATATTGTCTGAAGAGTAGTCTCTCTTCATTTCAAACCATGTCATGAGTGCATTGGACTTTTTTACATTGAATGCTACGCTCTGACCCGTCTCATGATCAGAAAGACAAAGTTTATGTATCTGTGGCTCTACCTCTTCTATATTTGTAGCGATTTGATCCAGACAAGCATCCATTCTAGTAGGGTGCTTTATATGCATAATAATGCATTTCCAAAAATATAAACTTGGAAGAACAATTAAAATAATAGAAAAAGGTTAGTTTCTATGATTTTTTCGTTCGCTGTATTTAAATTTATATGGAAATAGTGGTAAGTAAGTCAATTGGAATTATTTCAGGCTTAAATACAATATTTTGCACCTTACCCATTCGATTTAAGGTTGATTATACAAATAATAATTTCAATTATAATTTTTTAAATCTTTGGTGCATCAATGTGTTGAAACTTATTTACTGGGTGTTAAAGTATAAAATTGATTGTTGTTTTATTACATACAGGGTGTAAAATATATGTTTATAACTGAAATAATATCAATTGATAAAACTAAGTGTCTAATTTAAGTAGAACTTACAATTCTTCTTGTACAGTTTCATAAAATGATTGAAAAAACACAAAAACATTATCTGATGGATGTTAAATGTTAATTTATAAAGGTGTGTTCACACTGCTGCAGTAGATGTGGATACACCTTAATGCAATAGTAAACTTTTAATTAATAAATAATATACTCGAGACTTATCAGAAAGAGACTATGTACTTTTGAAACCAGGCGATAATCTTTCTCTTTCTATCACTTTGAAAAGCTATAACGAGTGAGGCAGACAGATCAAGTCCCATGTCATTCCTAGATATCGCTCAAAATTCGATTTAAATACAAGAAAACACTATTGTACATACTAGCCTTACGTAGTGTTCTGTCTGACGAAAGTATGTATGTATTTCCAAAAATATTTTATCTTTAACTAGATTTTGCCAGCGGCATCGCTTGCGTAAAATTTGAGATAAAATAGTTCTACTTATCACGATTCTATATTAAAAAAGTTCATGCTTCAAAAATGACGGACTTCCATACAAAATTTCAACCCCTTTTCACCCTTTTAAGGGTTGAATTTAGAAAAATCCTTTCTGATTCTTGGACTAGTGAAAAATACCAGAATTGTTATTTCAGTACTCAGACTAATCACAGGACGAATATTAAATTGAATTTTGAGCGTTGTTTGGTAATACGCCTCATGTCCGTTTTCACCATCAATCCCTAATTTTATAAGTGACCCCTATGGTAAAACATAACAAGAATTTTGTTTTAATAGGGGTCACTTAAAAATTAGGGATTGATGGTGAAAACGGGCGTCAGTCTCTTTAAAAATTAAACTTGATATTATTTCTTGAAATCATGTTGATATTAAATATGTAAATAAAACACGCTGTATCTTTCGCTTGGCGCTAACACTTTTGGAGGTACACGATTACTTTTTCAAAAATGTAAAAATAAAAAAAATATTTTTTTAATAAAAAAAATTTTTCGGAAAAAAATGCAAAACTTCGCTTTTAAAAAATTATGTGTATTTTATTTATTTTTACTGTCAAAAGCTTTAGGTTTATTTTAATGGAAACGTCGCGTTTTTTTTTTTGCAAATGTTGGGACCAAAACTAAGGATTTCTCTATGAATTTATCTATGGTTCCGACATAGATTATTTTCTACCTTCTCTTTGAATGTCTATGAAGCACAATTAAATCTTCGTATTTAATCATTTGTATGTGTTAAATTAGGTAATTTAAATATACAATAGTTAATAAATGGAATTTCCTTCTTTTTCGTTAACCGACTGCAGAAAGAATGATGTTTAGAACTATCTGTTCTTTTAACTTGTATTTTTTTTAATTATAAATTCAAACGATTACATGGATGAATTATTATTTTTTTCGAAGTAAAAAATATTTTTTGTACAGTCAACAGCATAATATAACTCATAATACAACTACATAAATGTCATAGAATTTATCTCGATGTGCTGTCTGTACAATATAAAATATTAATTAAACTTTGGAAATTCCTTTTAAAGTAAATGACAACAATATTAATGTTTAGGATAATGCCCCAGAGTCTTATTTTTGAACCGCTAGAGTTCTGATTCGCATACGATATCATCATCAGGTCATTTAGTCTCCAATGCAGGAGCACGACCCTCCAATTTACCAGAGGCAAATGGAGGATTTGTCCTACACTCCCCACGCTGGCCAGACGGGTTGGGGAGGCCTGATGTTCGCATATTTGTCCCTTAGTCGCCTCTTACGACATCCACTCTCGGAAATTTAAATTGTCTATGGAGTATTCTTAACTATGCGAATTTGAACTCTATTGCTTTAAGAATACGACTCATAACCCTCCATCCCAAACGTAGTAATGAATTTGATGGCCGTATAACCATAGTAATAAACGAATGTTGGATGTCGTGCTCGAAATTTTATAAATGTACCACTGGATACACCTTTTGCCGTTGTGTTAAGGTCGATTTTGATTAGCAACAGGAACGAAAAAGTTTTTGCACCTTATTGGGTTGGAATAAGACAATTTGCAATATATTCGACATAATAACTAACTTATTCATGCGACTTTGTTCGCGTTAAGCTTGAGACCCCCCTTTCATCCTCTTAGGGGGTGAATTTTGGAAAATCCTTTCTTAGCAGATAAAAATAACTATTCTTTGCTTTTATCCATCCAGTAGTTTGAGCTATGTGTTGATAGATCAGTCAGTGGTATAAATGTCCTGCACTGACCCTGAACCGTCCTAGCTATGACATTGTCAGGAGGGCGCTACTATCAATACTGAATTATTAGTTCCGATTATTGCCACGTATAATTGTGACATTTACAGGATGGCGCTACTATCAATATTGATTGTTCGTTTTTGATTTTTGCCACTTGACGTTTCAAAATTGTAACATTATTAATAAAACCAGTGGTACAATTATAAAATATGAAATAAACAAAAATATAAACACAGTAAAATAAATATTTACAGGTCAATCAAGACATTTATTTACCTAAATTCTTAAGCTGTACTCATTTTAAATCTATTCCGTATAATTTTAAGGACTACTTTCGTATGTATAAGTTAATTGTTAAAATTTAATAAAATTACATTCTGTTGCAAAAACACAAGAAATTGTTTATTTTTAAAGGTTGTTCTCGTTATGTTTTTGACGATATTTATACTTATGTAAACAAACATTGGTTGGCAGTAAAGTTTATATTTTACTACAAACAGTTGTTTTATTGAAATATCAGAGTTTTTTTACCTAATAGGTTCTAAAGCCCGGTCGCCGAGCACGTAGAATTTCGTCCAATGACCCCAAGCTACCCATCCTTATCGCTCGCGCGTAATTATGTTGCTGTCGCGCTCGCACACTCACTGCGGGCGCCCGTCGCACAGTCGCGACAGCAATATAATTACGCGCGAACGATAAGGATGGGTAGCTTGGGGTCATTGGACGAAATTCTACGTGCTTGGCGACCAGACTATAGATTTTGTTTTTTTTCTGTCTGAATCTGAAAAGATCTGAAGTCTCGTTGACATTAGACGTCTTTAAAACACCCTCACTGCACTGCACTGGCACTGACTGAGTTAAGCGCTACCTATAGCTTAAGGTCTGAGAAAACAGTACTTTAAAAGCAATCTATGTATGTAATGCCGGTTACAAACAAGTCAAGATGATCGCAAAAAAGCCACTCTTTTCAAATGATTAAAAAATTTGCAAATATATTTGCCGTGTTTGTGCAAACATTTGGCCAACATCTAGACACGTCTGACCGGGAATTTTGGACAGTCCAATCTTCTTTCAGCAACCTTCTCTCAAATCCTGTCACGTAAACTTGACATTTGACAGTACCTACATCAATGCCATTCCCCACAACGTGCGACCCGGCTGCGGTCATGAAAATTCAACGTGCAATGTGAATAACCACACAAAACTAACTTTCTAATAACCCAGAAACTTATGGCCAACCCAGTATTTAACTGCAAAGATGACCGCGTCAGCCAAACCGACTTAAAAGCAAGCTTTGATAAGCACAAGTCCTGGTACTATCTCGACGTGGAAACCGATAAAACGAAAACCTACACACCGAAGAAGAAAATGGTGAAACCAAAGCCCGTTTCAAGTATATACGTGCGTCCCAAAAATCTTCAGGCGAAGGCGTCCAAAATAGTTCCAGATGTTCCGCCGCCGAAAGAGATAAGTTATGTGCACGAGTTAGGCATGAAACTGGCGATCCATATTGGTGTGTTCCTCGTGTTTATTCTGTCATCGCTCTGTGGGGTATCTTATCTGTGGCCGGTGAGGGTGGCCAAGTCCAAGCCGAAGGTTCAAGGAGTATTTTGAGTCATTAATTTCAAGTACGTAATAAATACGTTAACTCCTATTTGGTTCATCATTTAACGATGTCTAATTTGATGATTCGCGTTGGTTATTCTTAATTGCCGCTTTTAGTATCGACCAAACTGTGGGGCAACTGGGAATTCCTTACAAAAATGTGCCAGTTTCCTTCACTTTCATTCAATAGATTAACAAATTATGAAAACCGTATGGAAATCTGTTTGGTAGTTATTGAGTATCGTGTTCAGGTTTTAAAATTTGTAATGACTTATAATTTATAGTACATACTGTTTTACATGCGGGGGAGACTGGGATATTTCTGTTAATTAATTCCCAGCTGCCCCCAGTAGAGAGGGCAACTGGGAATAACCCGCGTACAACGCCATCTGCGTTAGCGAATTTAAGTCTCCATGGATGTAGTGTGGTGTGGTGAACAATGATGTTGTGTGTGTATTGTCAAATTCTTGGAAATAATTCTTATGTATAGATCTATTAAAATAAAACGCACGTATGTAGCAAATAGGTGTATTAGACAACTCCAAGGTTACATACAAAATAAATGCGTATTTGAGACCGAATCTTTTCAAGTATGTTCACAGGTTTTTCTACAATTTTTTGTTGAGATGTACTTAAACTAAAGCGATAGTGAACTTAAAAATAGTTTTTAAACGAACATTTAACTAAAATATTAACACCCGTATTCACAAACGATACTTGCTTAAGTGAAGGAGCAAATCGAACGCACAGCGTCGAATAGAGCTCTGTGATTGGTTTGTGTGTCACCCTATAGTAATGTTTGTGAAATCGGGCGTTAATCATCAACTTGAATATAATATACCTAATAGTATAAAAACAAAAATAAACAGAATAAAACACTCAAAACTCGATTCAAACTCAAGATTATTGAGCATAGCTTCAGAATACGGGTCCAAAGACAAGGCAGGGTGTAATAAGTTGTATAAGTATACATTAGAAGTTGTAGATGTTGGTTACAAAGATTTAAAGCATTTTTTATTATTACCAATTTTAGTCACTCTACCTACGGTCACTAACAAGCAACCAGACAAAATTATTATACAATCTCAAAAGAATCCCTTTGTGTCCTCACCAGTTGTTGCCACTGTAGAGTTACGTCCTGTCACTCGCCAGTGGTGCCAACTGTTAAATATAAAAACAATAGCCCTTATTGACTAGGGCCTAGAGTGTCAACTATCCAATGAGAAGTATAATTTTGAGCGCTCACTATAGATAGTTCCATCCACGAAGACGCGCCCCACCATTCTTCCGCTAATGTTTGAGTGTTATCGGTACACGCTAAATCATCCATGAGTGCCCACTACAATAATGCCGCTTGGATTGCTCGGATCAAACTCCCCGCACCCCGCGCGACCGAGACCAAAAATTGGTGGGGCGCGTCTTCGTGGATGCAACGATCTACATTCCACGTCTAGTAACAGGACTTTACTCGCTACTGGCACCAACTGGTGAATGAAAATACAAGTCCTACAGTACTGCACCTTGGTGATTCAACGCATGTTTTTTTTTTTCAAATCTAGTTGCTGTTACTGACCGATATAATGCTACACAAATACACAGTAAACTAACAGTTTATAAAGTTCGACCCTGAGAGCAAACGAGTTTTTTCCCAATATCCACCAGTGGGGAATATGCGAAATACGTCAAGTAGAAAGTTTCAAGTTTAAATTCAGACAAGTGTGCGTTAGTTTCATTGTTTATTTAAAAAATTTAATACGTAATATTGCTTGTTTTTAAAAAGGCATGTAAATGCAACATTTTGAAAATTTATGAGAATAAAATATAAGTCCATATTCGCCGAAATTATTTTTTATAACTGTAAATATAAGGTAAGGTACTTATATACAACCAAAAACTTTTATATATACTACTAAACAAATTTAAAGTTACTAATACACACACAACATTAATTTGGTAGAGAATTTGAATAAAAATCTGTTCCTTAAAAAATTGTTACCTACGTAATTTAAAGTGATTTTCTTATTTAAACACAATTTTAATTTACATCTTGTATAGTTGTATACATAAAAATATTTGTATACAACCTAATTAAGTATACAATAATAATGAGAACAATAATTTTTAATTATTATGAGATAATTTTGGGTTCGCTAAATGCCACTTATAATAAAAATAATGATAAAAAAATCTTAACTAGGCATAACAGTGTAACTATAGTGTTATTTTATTTAACTAATATATTTTTAAAATAAAATAGCTCAAGGTATAATACATATCAACATTATATCTACACTAGCGGCCGCCTGCGACTTTGTACGCGTGGACCCCGTTTTACCCACCTTAGGGGTGGAGTTTCGTAAAATCCGTTCTTATCGGATGTCTACACCCTATCTAAGTTTGCCAAAGTTTGTAGGTGTTATAGTTTCTGAGATTTCGTGATTAATCAGTGAGTTTTATTTCGCGTTTATTTATATTTAAATAGTCTTTTAAAGTCATAACATTGTCTTTTTCTTTGTTAGAAATGGAAAGAGACAACAAAATTTCAAATGTATATCTGTGGGTAGAAGTCAAGAAATTAATGTTAGACCACAGAGGGTAGGATGTTGTTTAGTTCTTGGTGAGAAAATGAAGCGTCATGTGTTGTTACACATGACGCTTCATTTTCTCACCAAGAATTTTTTGAAAAGTGTTTTGTTAATTTTTTGAAAAGTGTTGAGCCGACTATTAACATTTAATAATGGTAGATTATTAACCAATAAGAGTGTTCGTGAACGTGCATGAGTGTATCAGATGAAACAAGGCTTACCTACGTTTAGTAGTGAAACTACCCTGAAATAATTCTACATTATGGTAAGTGTGATGATAATTTTCTTTAAGATAGTGCATGCTTGCTCAGTGTTAAAAAGAACACAAAAATAGTGTTAAGTAAGAAATGTAGCTTTTTTATGCAGAACGAGGCAGGTATTCGACCGCAATCGCACATGATGTTAAGTGAGATGCAGTCTAGGACGGTACATATAATATGCCCTGTAAGTGCTCATTCACTCTCGCCTTGAAAAGGCCCGGATTATAGTGTTCAGGAAAGACAGCAGCAGGCAGCGAGTTTCAGTCCCTAGCTGTTCGCATTATAAAAGAGTTGCATTATCATGCAGCTATTGCATATTGCATTAATGTACTCAAGAGTTTATAGTACATTCTGTGTGAATTGTGTAGGTAATTGGAAATCGTAAAGTTTTGAATTTCGTTTTAGAAGAGAAATAGTTGATGCGTATTAATACCTCAAGAGTAAACTATATTATTTACTAAATAAAATAACGTAATATACCTAAGTAAATAATTTTACTATAGAGCTGCTATAGGGATGATAATTGAATTATTAATTATTGCCAGTTTTATTATTATTGAGTTGTTTATTGCGAAAATATACAGCCAGATGTGCTTATTTTTTATTTAAAAACCAATTATAACTATCAAATGTCAGTATTTTATTTTTGTGACTTAACAAATTGTATACAAACCGAGTATAATATTAATAATAATAATAGAAGAGAGATAGCTCTTAGTAACTCGTTAACTCACTGAGTTATAGGTTTAACTCAGTCGGTGTCTGAGGTGGTTTACCTCCACCATATCGAATTACAAATGATCGAAAATCAAAATATCGAACACGTTTCATCGAACGATCAAAATATCGAATGATCAAAATATCGAACGTTCAGAATATCGAATGATTAAAATATCGAAAATCAATATATTCATATAGGTACACATATTTTTATTTCCCACTTTAGGGTACCATAGTCAACAAGGAACCCTTATCTCCATCTTCCTATTATACTATGCAACATAAGATCGACTTTCGATATTTTGATCGTTCGATATTTTGATTTTCGATCATTTGTAATTCGATATGGTGGAGATAACCCGTCTGAGGGGTGTATGGAAGCAGCACTCGAGGGGTTGCATTGACCTATTATGACGTGACAGAGCATACAGTTTTAACAGGTGATACATGTTGTATCACCGGTTAAAACTGTAAGACCAAATCATGTTGCTCTGTAATATGTTTTCACACATGTTTGTGTAAATAAATATCTTTATCTTTACAAATCTCAAGGAGATCTGAAATCTTGACGCTATAAAAACACCCTCCCGTGCCGCTTCCGTACCTCAGGCGTTGGCTGAGTTAATCTCTAGAACAGGGATGGCGCACCAATGGCACGCGTGCCATTGATGGCACGCGCCACAATATTTAGGGCACTCCACCAATGACCCCAAAATTCACTATGAAATAAAATAGCAAATAATTGTTTTCAACCCTCCCTCATCTATTGTATTGTGCCACATCAGTTGGCGCCATTGTAGAGTAAGGTGCTATAATGCTGTCATTCGCCAGTGGAGCCACTTGTTCTTGTACGATGCTCCCTCATTGATAGCATTTTAAGTGGCACGTCTACGACTACATCAAAATTGTTTTTGAAAAGTGGCACGTTGCTACATAAAGGTTCGCCATCCCTGCTCTAGACATATGACTCAAAACATATACAGCCTGTATAACGTAAAACAATCTCAAGCAAAACCAGTGCTTGAGCAAAGATTTGTCGAAGCTAATTTATACCTTAAACTGTTCACAATAAGGACCATTTTGGCTACATTAATCTATGTTTTAAGATAGATTTTTGAAGTATGAGCGCTTACACACGGCATTATAAACTATTTACTTATATTGCTATATAGGGTGGTGGTTAAGTCACTTGTATACAATATAACCGACAATTTTATATACAGGTGAATTATATGTATATTTTTTTTGCAATTTTGGCCAAATATAAAACAATACAAAAAGCCAAAACTTGTGGTAAATTATATAGTTGACATCCTGCAACAAAAAATGTATTATATTCTTATGTTTTTGACTGAACCACCACCCTATAGATTGCACTCGTCCCGCCGATGATAAAGCGACTAACTAACGACAAAGAACTGAGCGAGCGAGATGTCACTAGCAGCAACACTGTGTGATAAAAAGAGACGCTTTTTGCAACTATTTGACAGTTCGTTAGCACTTATTTTCTGATTTTACGTGAGGTGAAATCGTGGATGTTTATGAGAAATAGTGCTTCACAAAACGTGGTGACCGGTTCTGTGATTGATTTATTGTACAAAACGGTGAAATAAACCTGACACTGACACAAGTGTCATTCAAAATTGATTTTGTTTGACAGCTCGTGGTTGTTGCTCTATTCCGAAGGAATATTAACTTGGGGTGAGTCAGTTCTGCTTACTATGTGCCCTACCCATTGCCACTTCAGCTTGCTAATCCGTCGGGCTATGTCAGCGACTTTAGTTCGTTTACGGATCTTCCTCATTTCTGATTCGATCTCGTAAGGAAACACCGAGCATAGCCCTCTCCATAGCACGCTGTGCAATTTTGAGCTAATTTATAAGGCCTATATTAAGAAGCCACGTTTCCGAGCCGTATATCATTGCTGGTAACACACTGATTGAAGACTTTCGTCTTTAGGCTCTGAGGTATTTTTGTCACGTTTTGACAGCCCATAAATATCAATTGAACTCGTCAGCTAGTCGCTTTCGTCAGGGGTAGAACCAGTGCCTAACATAAATCGCTCTGCAGCCTCAAACTCGCCTTATTCGAAGACCAGGGATGCACTGGCATAAGACACGGAGGAGTCTTGAAGATTCATACACTGGGATGACTGCGCGTACTTTAGGAACTTCATCGACATCCTAGGCGCGTTGGATTGAGACTGGAGCCGGGCTATGGCCTGGAAATGGAAATAAATACATATAAATAATATTATTTTTATCTTCTCCCATCATTTGGGTAAGTGTTGTCATTCTTCATGCACAAATCACAAACGCTACACTTTAAAACGATGAAAATCTTTAGTATTCTTTTATAGCATTTTTGATGATTTTCTCTAATCATTTCTATATTAAAAAAAAATATTTAAGTAGGTATGTTTATCTCTGTTATTTAGTGTACCTATAGTACACGCTTTCCTTATAAATAATAATAATAATCAATAACTAAATTCCTTCATTGAAGTTACAAGTTTTATCATTACAGGGTTTGGTTGGTACAACTTCTTTTAAGTTTATAAAGGCCTATACAGGTTCTTAGGTAATGAGCCGACACTACCTAACCCATGTTAACATGGTCATATAAATGGTATGGTGAAGTCAGAAAATATATCTTCATTTTAATTATTTTATTTTTCGTACAAATCGGATTTTATAAAATTAATTTTGTATGAAAATTTAAAAAAATAAAATGATGATATCAAATTTCTGATTTCACCATACCATTTATATGACCATGTTAACATGGGTTAGTGTCGGCTCATATACCTATTTACCTAACACCCTGTATATGTGCCCCTCTCTCATGGTTTCTGCAGAATACCAGTGGCCGTAACGTGCTCCCGAGTACGTTATGGCTTCATACTGAGCAGAGACCAATTTGGTACAACTATTTTATTATTTTTGAATTATTCTATTTTTAGTACCAAATAAATATTTTTTCTTTCTTTCTTTCTATTAGAAGTGTTTCCTTTTAGATATATTTTAATGCACTTTTAATTTTTTTTATTAGTCTTATTTTTTTCTTTACGATTTGTAAGCACTACTGAATAGCCTATGCAAATAAAGAAACTTTGACTTAATCTCACTTGCAGTAGCACCCCGATAGGGTGTCTCCCGCAGATGGTATTCCCATATTTGTTGAGGTATTCTGTGAACGCTCGCGGGTCCATTTTCTCTATTATGTCCATGCCCTGAAATGAAATTACATTGGTATTAGATGAAGGACATAGAAGTCGCTGACATAGCCCGACGGATTAGCAAGCTGAAGTGGCAATGGGCAGGGCATATAGTACGCAGAACTGATGGGACAAAAAGGTTCTGGAATGGAGGCCGCGTACCGGAAAACGCAGCGTGGGACGTCCACCTACAAGGTGGACCGACGACATCGTAAAGGTAGCAGGGAAGCGCTGGACGCAGGCCGCTACCAATCGATCAACATGGAAAGCATTGGGGGAGGCCTATGTTCAGCAGTGAACGTCCTATGGCTGAAATGATGATGATGATGAAGGAATCTTTTTTTTATGCATAACAAGGCAGGTATTTGAGCACAATCGCAGCTGATGTTAAGTGAGATGCAGTCTAGGATGGTACATATCTGCCCTGTAAGTGCCTATTCACTCTCGCCTTGAAAAGGCCCGGATTATAGTGTTCAGGAAAGACAGCAGCAGGCAGCGAATTCCAGTCCCTAGCTGTTTGCATTTTAAAAGCTACCGCTTGAAGTTTGATGGGTTATGAAATTGATGGTAGGGTAAAAAGATTGAGAGACATGTAGAGGCTCCTTACGAGCAAAATATTTCGTTCGTCGGCCGTTTGGTGTAGTGGTTCAGAACGGACTACTATGCCGAGAAGTCCCGGGTTTGATTCCCGGCCGGGCAGAAATTGAAATGATGAATTTTAATTTCTGTGACGGGTCTGGATGTAAATATGTATAATATGTGGATTACTAATGTTTGGCNAAATTTACCCTGAACAAAGGATAAATTGATTAAGTGAGCAATCGGGCGGGATAGACTGTCAGCCACCGACTTAACTATCTCAGTCGTGATATCATCAAGACCACTAGTCTTACTATTCCTCAGAGACATTATTAGCCTAAATACTTCATTTTCATCAGTAGGTCGTAAGAACATAGAAAACGGATTACTGGGTATTTTATGGTCTAATNTGATAGCATTGTAGTTCATAAGTAGGGTATTTTCGGGTTTTAGTTCTGTATTGTACAATGATGATGTCCTACTTACCTTTATGTATACCTAGTTTATATTTTACTGAATTTCTCGTAAAGCTAATTTCGACTAAAACATTATACAATTCATCTAAGACTAACATTATTCGCGCACTAATATCTATCTCATCGTTCGCTCAATGTACCTTATACCTACCATATTTATCTAGCTAGGAGCTTTCTGATAAATAAATCATGGTATATTCAGCTAACTACCGAGTATTATCTTTAGAAACAATATAAGCTGAACAGGCAATTCATTGATATTTTGTAGTAAGAATTTGAAATCTGTAAAGGATCTTCCACAGCAAACGATTTCAAATACGATTTATAGTTCACTGTTTTAGTAAGTCTTCGTGTATTGTTTTGGGAAAAGGAATTGTTTAATTTGAGTTAATTGTAAATTTATTGTTAACCTGAAAGTAAATCCAAACTTGGGAGTAGGTAATATGACCATAAACAAGGAGTAAGTATTTATTTTAGAAGTAACTATTCACTAAGCTACAATAAGTTACTCTTAAAAAACCGACATGAAACTGAAGTTTAGTACCGATATGAAAAATTCTTCATAAAAATATTACTAAATTCCGAACACGAATAAAAAATCCACTAAACCTATTTCATTTTCGCGTCGAAACACAGTCGGTATACAAAAGGCGTTTCACATTTTAATATAAAATTACTTTTGAAACTCGGGCGGTTAAATAGACTTTTTCATACGAGCTAAAACTGTTTGCTTAGGAACAGTTTGTGAACTGAACCAAAGCGCACACAGAATGAAGGAGAACAGTAGGACCACACTATCAAAAGTATTATTAGTCAGTGTTCATAACATATTTTTGTAATCGCTCGCGAACCGAACATGGCTCGTACGCCTACTACAACTGCTTGTGAATGGTTGAAAGCCACACTGTAAAGTAAATGTTTTTTTCGAAAACAAAAGTTCCCACTTTAATACTTGTTTCGACAACGGTTATAAGCCGGGTCCAGACGGGTGTAATGTGTAATGTAATCCGCCATGTACCTAATGTGATGGAAATAGTTTGGGCAACACTTTACATGTAATACTCATAGTGTCCACACGTAGAATTCGTGTTACATTACACGTAATCTTACATTACACATTACACCCTTCTGGATCCGGCTTTAGTCGAATGTTTTCATATCTGATTCTTCTTTCTTTCTTCACCGACTTGTTCCGAGCCTCTCTTAGGGATAAAATTACTGCAGTTCACATCATTTTGTCGCTAGAATTATGTAGTAGGTATACTTTCTGCTCCTTTCTACTCTGTGCCCGCGGCGTGTATACCGGGTTGTCACGAAGCGAATCCGTTGGTTCCGCCATGCCGCGATATCCATTTGACGCGAGAAGGGCCGTAACAATTCCAAATAATCAGTGTTTGACAACGTGAGAAGTGGCCCCTGGACACTATCCCGGATTCCCTGAGAAGTCCCTTAAATGGGTTTCGAATTTGAGCTACATTGGTTTGGGTTCCACGTAATGATCGTATAATTAAATGGCGCTTAGTTTTCGGCACTTCTGAGAACGGATCAAAATATTATAGGAACTAATTTGATTTTAATTAGGCACTTCACGTTATTGATGGAAAAGTAATAACAACAAAGTTATGGGTACCGAAAAACGGAATAATTTAATCGACCTTTTATTAACTTCTGTAAATTGCTTAAAACTTTTGGCTTTTGGGTTGTAAAGGTTTTCTTTCTTAGAATAAAACAACAATAATTAGGATATAACTACAAAAGTTATAAAGTTGAAATAAGTAGAAATCCATAATCTGCGCTATTGTATAGACAGATAAGTTTCCTTTAGCTGGAGAAACCGCATTTGAAGCAAAAATGCTGACTAAGATACTTACTGTGTCCATTTTTCCGTATCTTCGCTTCCTTTAATGCAATAAACCCTTATCGGAAATTCTCAGACGGCAGGAAACGCATCGACATTTCTATTTGTATATTGTATCGATGTTTGTCGATATACAATAATAGACTTTGATAAGCGATAATAGTTTTGGAATCTAAATATTTGGTTAGAATATCGCGTGGCACAGACGAGAAACCTTTTTTAAACGCCCGATAAGAAAATCTTAGTCCAGCTGCAATATATTTGGGTAAATAGCAGGGTATACGCTGTAAATCTAAAGCTCTAAGCTTGATAAGGTACGGTGGGCGATTACTGCCATTTTATACTTTTCCTTGAGCCTATGGATAAGCCCAAATGATGTTGATGACTTTTACTTTCAGCAACTTTTCTTTTAATTAAACAGTATTGTAGCAAAGAAATAATTTAATTAACATTCAAGGCAAGCCGGTTTACTTTATCTTTACAAGTTATATAGTCGTTTTCAGGTGAAATATTCATCCGAAATGAACTCGTTGGAAAAATACTTCTGCTTTGTTTCACAAAACGATTTAGATTAGGCTCAGGGTAACCGTTTTTAATTTGCGTAATTATTTCATTGCTTAAAGGCTTTGGTCTCGAGGAAAATGGTTTGATGGTGTAAAAGTAACAAATTGACTGACTAAAAAAACAGGAAAGTGACAAAAAACCTGTGTAAAGAAAGATACCTACAATGAACTAAAACGCGAGCAGAAATATGCGTCAAATTGCGTGTTTTCAGAAAATTATTAAAAGCTATACTAAAAAATAATACCTCTTTCCATAACACCATACTTTTTCAATGCGATTTGTGCCGTTAGAAATAAAATACAATCGCAACCAACTTCACAATTTTGGTCACAATGCAAATACTGCTCTTTCTAATTTGCTACAGCTTACCGAAATTGAATAGCACAATGAACTAATTCCGACTAAATCAACACCGAAAAAGTCATGGCGTTCCGATCTGGTGACCACGAGGGATTCAAATTAAGACCTCCGGGCTACAATGGTGGTCATAGGTTCGACAGCATATCAGGCTGTACAAATTCGTTGGAAAGTAACCTCTATTACAACTGTATAAGATGCCATCATGTGCAGCTTGATGTGCTGACTGTACAATAAAAGGTGTTACAATAGGGTCCCAGGGTAAATAAACATTAGTGACGCTTTTTATGCTAGAATTTGACCACTATTAATAGAGTTTTTTTTTTAAGTTCACCGCTTTGGGAAAAGGATCGTTTAGGGTTTGAAACTGGAAACATCAGATTTTATAGCTCTAGCGTTTAACTCAGCCAGTTCCCGAGGCATGGGAGCGGCACGTTTTTGGGACCTCAAACATCAGCGAGACTTCAAAATATGTGCTTCAGATTTGTATGCTCCTCTGGCATGTTTAATAATAATATTACTTATTATAGTTAATTAACATTAATAATACTACCATTAATGTTTAAATAGCCAGCTACTCTATTGCGATACCACTCAGGTAACTAAGTTTTTAAGCTCCTGTATGTTATGTAATTTACACCATTACAAATTGTCACTTAGTAAGCAATAAATATTTTGAATTTGAATTTGAATTTGAATCATGTCATTGTAGATGCTGTCATTTAACAAAATACCACACAACCTTGTCGAATTGCCAATAAACAAATTTAAGATACATATAAAAAATACCCTTATGTCGAAAAGGTTCAAGACTATATGGATGACAAGGATGCGTGGTCAGTTCAGTCTGCACATATTTGATGTACTTAAATTTGACTATTCTTACCGTTAGATAATTCCTGGCAATAAGTGGTGACTGAGTTTGTTCCGGCGTTTCTTCTCAGCACTTGCCATATGTTTGTCTCGAAGCGCTGGTAGGAGGGCCCAAAAGATAAGGAGACATGTAAAGTGCCCCATAAGGGCTACCTTTTCTTTTTTTATTATTTTCTATTGACGTTCATAAGTGCCACTTGTGGTCTAAACTGAATAAATATTTTTGATTTTGATTTTTTGATTATGTCAATGTCATTCCTTAGACATTGACTGAGTTAAAGGCTAGACAAATAGAAGGAAGTATAGAACCTGTTGACTGGAGTTTTATAAACCTCTAAATTCAGTTTAGGTCCAAAATGCCATTCTAATAATTCAAATCGGAATCCTTATCTTAATTTATTTTATGGAACCTTTCCATTCAAACCCTTATCGGTTATTTAGTATAGGGATGCAAATAATTTTGCTTTGCGGTTATGGACCCCTAAATCGTACCCTATCGTTACGTTGATGGTTGTTTGCTCCAAAATCTGACCGCTCTAGGTCAGATCGAAAATTGATAGCGTCTGTTTACTGCCTATATTTTCTCTTTATCTAATGTTTGTAATTTGACGAGGACAGAGGATATACATACAGGCTTGTTAAATGTCAAATTTGATGTCATCTGTCAATCACATGCTGTAGGTACGGATGAATCTGATACTAGCAATATTTTCTACAAACTTTTTATCTGCAATGTATGTAGTTATGTAACTAGGTACTCGTATATTTGTTCGGGTGGAATCTTGTTTAACTATCAAAATAACTTAGCCTATAGCCACTGTCAGATTATAAGTATAGCTTGTAGCCATTGATTGATTGAATAGGTTCTGTGAGATATAAATCAAAAGCTTGTGGGTAAATATGAACTGGTACAACCATGTTTCAGTTTCTGAATTTACTTTCTGGATTTAGCTTTCAGCCCGTTATTCATTACTTCCCCCTTAAAAATGTAACAAGAATCTTATTTTTATTGAGTTTGGACATAATGAAACAAGCAAACAAAATAATTTTATTATTATTAAATAAAATTTTCTGCATGAGAGGTGTTCACCCTCTCATCTTTCCATCTCTTTTTCATTTCTTTTTTTTTGTCATAAAAGATTGAAATAATTTGGTTAGTGGGATAGGTGCATTGACTATCATCAAATCATATCACCATTGTCTCTTGAGGGTTGAACCCCTTCTTCTCCTCTCTTTTTCTATATTTATCTAAAACCATAGACAAAAAGTATCCAACGAGACCGCGCTACGTGCGTCGGTCTCGCGCCGCTTGCCGCGAGTGGTTGCGCGGGCGCAGCGCAGGAAACAAAACCAATTTTATATTGGCTAAGCAGGGCCGCTGGTTTCCGGGACCGTTTCCTTGGAACAAAAACATCATCGACCGAGACACGTAGTAGACAATGCTGAAGTAGGCTCACTAATGTAAGCAAAAAAGGTATTTAATTAAGTTATTATGTTTATATCCGTTGTCTAGCTAGACCCTATAGATAGTACAAGCTTTGCTTTGTTTGGGACTAGAGGCACTATGTAAAATATTCAAGGATTTTTTTTATTTAAATCGAAAAGGAGGGTTGTAAACCTGTCTGGTTCCCATTGCTGTGAAAATTCAAATTCTATTAAAGGCCCTTTTTCAGGGCACTTATTGTATGGCCCAACATAGTTTGCTCTACCACCAGTATGTCACCAGAATCGATAGCTTGACTACCACATAAAAAAAACCAGAGAAGGCTAAGGTTTAGATCATAGATCACATATTAATAGATCTAATTCTTATCTATCAACTTTAAAAAAAAATTGTCTGAAAACTGTGTGCATAAATTAAAATGTAAATTACGGCAAAGCAGTACTGTCTTATTATTGTAGGAATTCCGTAGGCGATTTTGTTTTGTGACATTTTACAATGGATGTCAGTTTGTCATCCGAGGTTACTGAACCCATCCTAATTGCCCTGTCCCATGACTACTGTTTTTGATAATTTCGTCTCGAAGTCAACACGTGCTTGGACCTTTTGTCGGAACTCAAAATTGTCGCAAAAAAAGGTCAGAATAGTCAATTGTACTAAGAAGCCGGTCTCTACCTGCTAAGACAAATAAAAAAGAACGAGTAGTTTGTTATTCTTTAAGTTAGTGTCAAAAGGAACGTGTGAATATTATAATTAAAACGTAAATAAACCAAACTTATGTAGGTAGTATAAACTTCCTTGAGTAGGTATTATACGGTGTGAATGCGAATAAATAAAGGGTTTTTCGGTGTTGTCGGAGCTCGATTTGCATATACATAGATATGTGACTCAATGAAATGGAAATGAAGCTTATTTCTGTATAAATCAAATCTACTCGTAGATACTCACCTATCTTAATACTTTATGTTAGGATAATACAAGTTCCAATGTTATATTATGGTTTCCATCTTGGTAAGCAAAAGAAATATTGGATTTAACAAATTGATCCCATTATTATGGGTTTCTTATTTTTCTTTTGAGATATGATACCCCAAAAAGGACTTATTCTGTGTTTTGCAGGGCTCATTAAGGTGTCATGAATGTCGACATTGAAGAGAATGGCGACTTTGTACGCGTGAAAATAGTAGTTGAATAATAAATCCTGTTTTTGTAACATTTTTCTCTACTGCTCCGCCCCTATTGACTG